GTGAAGGATTCACGTGGTGGAGTCATGGGGTGGTGTCACACATGTAGGGGTGTCACGTGGTGGAGTCAAGTAGTGGAGTCACATGAAGGAGTCACTTGGCAGAGTTAAGTGGTGGAGTCATGTGGTGGTGTCACATGAAAGATTCGATTGGTGGAGTCACGGGGTGGTGTCACACATGTAGGGGTGTCACGTAAAGGATTCACGTGGTGGTGTCACGTGGTGGAGTCACGTGGTGGTGTCACGTGGTGGAGTCACGTGGTGATGTCACGGGACGGTGTGTCACATGAAGGAGTCACTTGGTGATGTCACACATGTTTGGGTGTCACGTGAAGGATTTATGTGGTGGTGTCACGTGGTGGAGTCATGGGTGGTGTCACACATGTAGGGGTGTCACGTGAAGGATTCACGTGGTGGTGTCACGTGGTGGAGTCACGTGAAGGATTCACATGGTGGAGTCACGTGGTGATGTCACGGGGTGGTGTGTCACATGAAGGAGTCACTTGGTGATGTCAAATGAAGGAGTCAATTGGTGGTGTCACACATGTTGGGATGTCACGTGAAGGATTCTCGTGGTGGAGTCATGGGGTGGTGTCACACATGTAGGGGTGTCACGTGAAGGATTCATGTGGTTGTTGTCACGTCACGTGGTGATGTCACGGGGTGGTGGTGTCACATGAAGGAGTCAATTGGTGGTGTCACACATGTTTGGGTGTCACGTGAAGGATTCATGTGGTGGTGTCACGTGGTGGTGTCACACATGTACGGGTGTCACGTGAAGGATTCACGTGGTGGAGTCACATGAAGGAGTCACTTGGCAGAGTTAAGGGGTGGAGTCACGTGGTGGTGTCACATGGTGGAGTCAAGTGGTGGAGTCACAGGGTGGTGTCACATGAAGGAGTCACTTGGTGGTGTCACACATGTACGGGTGTCACGTGAAGGATTCACGTGGTGGAGTCAAGTGGTGGAGTCACATGAAGGAGTCACTTGGCAGAGTTAAGTGGTGGAGTCACGTGGTGGTGTCACGTGGTGGAGTGATGGGGTGGTGATGTCACATGAAGGAGTCAATTGGTGGTGTCACACATGTTGGGGTGTCATGTGAAGGATTCACGTGGTGGAGTCATAGGGTGGTGTCACACATGTAGGGGTGTCACGTGGTGGAGTCAAGTAGTGGAGTCACATGAAGGAGTCACTTGGCAGAGTTAAGTGGTGGAGTCACGTGGTGGTGTCACGTAAAGGATTCGATTGGTGGAGTCACGGGGTGTATGTAAAATATAACTAAGAGCATAGTGACAAAAAAAATCTTAAAACTGAATTCAAAATTTAATGAAAAACTGTCTGCATATGACTTGTTAAAAAAAATTCGGGAGTTATCAAAAGTAGACCTGAAGTGTAAATATTAATGAAATATTAACTTAAAATATTTTCATTTTAAAATATTAATTGTTGCAAAACTGAGAAAACATGATCCATCGAAAAACGAATAAATGTGTTTTACATGCAGACATTAAAAGGCCATACAGTACAGACAAGCACATGGTGATAACATCATTAACAGTACATTAAATCTGATTGAGTTGAAGCAAAAATGACTGGTCATCACAGGTTACCATTCAAACATGCATAAACACTTGTCATAACAAGACTGCTAACCTCTTTAACCATTTCTTCATCAAGTCATAACAAGCATTTATTCATAAATGAGCAGAAACCCATGATGAGTCAGACAGTTCTATTTCAATCTCAATCAAAGATGCTGCACTGATGCTTCTGTCTATACCATGTGCCTTTCTGGCCAAACCTACTAATTTAATTTACCAACAACAGCCCGGTTTGAGCTGGGTGAGGCTCCCCTAATAGGTTTTGGACACAGGAAAGGACACCTCTTGTAGTTTCAGAGTTATGTCCCTTGGTGGTGTCACACATGTGGGGGTGTCACGTGAAGGATTCAATTGGTGGAGTCAAAGGGTGGTGTCACACATGTAGGGGTGTCACGTGAAGGATTCATGTGGTGGTGTCACCTGGTGAAGTCACGTGGTGGTGTCACATTAAGGAGTCACTTGGTGGAGTCACATGGTTGAGTCACGTGGTGGTGTCACGTGGTGGAGTCACACATGTGGGGGTGTCACGTGAAGGATTCACGTGATAGAGTTAAGTGGTGGAGTCACATGGTGGTGTCACATGGTGGATTCAAGGGGTGGTGGTGTCACATGAAGGAGTCACTTGGTGGTGTCAAACATGTGGGGGTGCCATGTGAAGGATTCACGTGGTGTTGTTAAGTGGTGGAGTCACATGGTGGTGTCACGTGGTGGAGTCACGGGGTGGTGGTGTCACATGAAGGAGTCAATTGGTGGTGTCACACATGTTGGGGTGTCACGTGAAGGATTCAAATGGTGGAGTCACATGAAGGAGTCACTTGGCAGAGTTAAGTGGTGGAGTCACGTGGTGGAGTCACGGGGTGGTGGCGTCACATGAAAGAGTCAATTGGTGGTGTCACACATGTGGGGGTGTCACGTGAAGGAGTCACAGAGTGGTGTCACACATGTGGTTGAGTTACGTGGTGGTGTTAAGTGGTGGAGTCAAGTGGTGGAGTCACGGGGTGGATTCAAGGGGTGGTGGTGTCACATGAAGGAGTCACTTGGTGGTGTCACACATGTGGGGGTGTCACGAGGAGTCAAGGGGTGGTGTCACATGAAGGAGTCACTTGGTGGTGTCACACATTTGGGGATGTCACGTGAAGGATTCATATGGTGGAAACACGGGGTGGTGTCAAATATTAGGTGGAGTCACCTGGTTGAGTAACATGGTGGTGTTTAGTGGTGTAGTCACATGAAGGAGTCACTTGGCAGAGTTAAGTGGTGGAGTCACGTGGTGGTGTCACGTGAAGGATTCAATTGGTGGAGTCACGGGGTGGTGTCACACATGTAGGGGTGCCACGTGAAGGATTCACGTGGTGGTGTCACTTGGTAGAGTTAAGTGGTGGTGTCAAGGGGTGGTGGTGTCACATGAAGGAGTCACTTGGTGGAGTCACACATGTTTGGGTGTCACGTGAAGGATACATGTGGTGGAGTCATGGGGTGGTGTCACACATGTAGGGGTGTCACATGAAGGATTCACATGGTGGAGTCACGGGGTGGTGTCACACATGTGGTGGAGTCACGTGGTGGAGTCATGGGGTGGTGTCACACATAAAGGGGTGTCACGTGATGGATTCACGTGGTAATGTCCCGTGGTGGTGTCAGGGGGTGGTGGTGTCACATGAAGGAGTCACTTGGTGGTGTCACACATGTTTGGGTGTCACGTGAAGGAGTCATGTGGTGGAGTCATGGGGTGGTGTCACACATGTAGGGGTGTCACATGAAGGATTCACATGGTGAGTCACGGGGTGGTGTCACACATGTGGTGGAGTCACGTGGTGAAGTCACATGAAGGAGTCACTTGGCAGAGTGAAGTGGTGGAGTCACGTGGTGGTGACACGTGGTGGAGTGACGGGATGGTGGTGTCACATGAAGGAGTCAATTGATGGTGTCACACATGTTGGGGTGTCACGTGAAGGATTCACGTGGTGGAGTCATGGGGATGGTGTCACACATGTAGGGGTGTCACGAGAAGGATTCATGTGGTGTCACGTGGTGGAGTCAAGTAGTGGGGTCACATGAAGGAGTCACTTTGCAGAGTTAAGTGGTGGAGTCACGTGGTGGTGTCAAGTGGTGGAGTCACAAGAAGGAGTCACTTGGTAGAGTTAAGTGGTGGTGTCACACGGGGTGGTGGTGTCACATGAAGGAGTCACTTGGTGGAGTGGTGGGGTGTCACGTGAAGGATTCACATGGTGGAGTCACATGGTTAAGTCATGTGGTGGTGTCATGTGGTGGAGTCACGTGGTGGTGTCACACATGTGGGGGTGTATCGTGAAGGATTCACGTGGTGGTGTCACGTGGTTGAGTCAAGGGGTGGTGTCACATGAAAGTGTCACTTGGTGGTGTCACACATGTGGGGGTGTCACATGAAGGATTCACATGGTGTTGTTAAGTGGTTGAGTCACGTGGTGGAGTCACGGGGTGGTGGTGTCACATGAAGGAGTCACTTGGTGGTGTCACACATGTTTGGGTGTCACGTGAAGGATTCGATTGGTTGAGTCACAGTGTGGTGTCACACATGTAGGGGTGTCACATGAAGGATTCACGTGGTGGTGTTAAGTGGTTGAGTCACGTGGTGGAGTCACGGGGTGGTGTCACATGGTGGAGTCATGTGGTGAATTCACGTGGTGAAGTTATGTGCTGGTGGTGTCACGTGGTGGTGACAAGTGGTGGTGACAAGGTCTTGTCCTTAAGTATGTTTTGTTATAATATAAGTTGATCCCTTCAATAATAGTAAAGTTACAGCCAGTTACAGCAAAAACAATGAAAAGGTCAAGATCATTAATGAGTGAAGGTCAAGGTCTGTCTGGTTATTTTAAAGTGTTATCCTTGAGGATTATTATTAAAAATTCAATTATAGCCAAAAACTAGAAATGTGTCATCATACCACGGATGCAGCCAAAATTTCAGATGTTCCAAATTTGTTTGCAAAAATTATTTTTTACATTTTAAGTTCAAAGCCCTTAAAACTTTTCAATGTTAACACAAACCTTTTTCATATAATGTTCAAGGCACTAAAATTATTCAGTCTTAACCTTTTAAAAAAAGCATATTTCATATTTGTAGCTAAAATAATGGCTACATACATTTCCACAAAAGTATGAGTGCTGAAACTGAAAGTTCAAAATTTTTCCAACATTCAAGAAAGATAAGTTTGTCCAAAATCATTGAACCATGACCAAATTCAAACTTAAACTGCTTATTCCTAAGATGTATCTTTATTATTTTCAAAAAAGTTGAGCTCAAAAAGGGTAATAACTACAAAATTTGGCAATTTTCTTGGTCCAAGTTCTTGTGCTCTGCACATCTACTCATTGTGGGTTGCACTGTACGGCAGCACCTGATCCACATGGGGCGGAGTTGCATACAACCTGAAGTTCAAATAAAAAAAATCAGTTTTTTTAAATAAAGACAAAAAGACCATTAGAATATCAGTGACATGATGTCAAGAGAAAAGAAAAATGTTCATTTTGTATCAAAGGGAGACTACTCCTATTATCTTACATGAAGTAATATTATCAAAGGGAGCTTACTCAAATATTTTTTAAATATTCATATAGTGTTATGTAAGTTATCTTAAATGCAATATCATAAAAGGGGCTCCTCTTGAGCATATCCTGTATACCATCATCATATCATACATTTTAGTGGTAGCATGTCAAGTTGTTATTGCTATGACTAGTCATCTAAGGATGGCTACTAGACACATGGGTTCAAACCCAGTCTGAGGAGCAAGCCTTTGTTTCTTTGAGCTCAGAAACTTAAGACTATAATTTCTCAGTACTGGTTGGTTCCAGGAAGAGGTTTCAGAGTGAGTTTACAAGCTTTTAGATTGTTACACAAACTAAAATAAATTCTATATAGACTAAAGGATACATTTCAAAATATCATATCTGATACATGTAAAGAACTGTAATAAGATTGATGAGCACTTAATGTAACAAGAATGAGAGCTTCTTCAAATGAACAGGCAAGTTGCTAATGGTGATACAATAATTAAAGATAATACTGAACAAAATTTAATGATCTCACAAGATATATTTATATAGTGTTGCTTAAATGGGAAACAACTCATATTACCTTTTTAAATGAAAATGGTGTGATATTATCAAAGGGAGCTAACTTAAACTAGAACTGCCACTATAATGGTGTGAATACCCCAGCATACCACGTTGTCAGAATCAACAGTGGCCATTTAGAGCTCAAGGACAACCTCCCTGCTAAATCTCAGGTTACTAAGCCAGTGCATTGCTAAGTTATGTATTCTACATGCTTCAAATGTGAAAATGTCAAAATCAATACATTGCGGACAGGACATTCTTTAGCAATTGAGAAGAAAAGTGGGTTTTTTTTGTCAAGGTCCTGTGACCTTGACCTTTGACCCAGTGACCTTAAAATCAATAAGGGTCACCTTATAGTCATGATCAACATCCATGCCAAATATGAAGAAGTGGGTCAAAGGAACCTTAAGTTATTGGGTGGACAAGCTTTTTGAAGTCAAGGCCCATGTGAACTTGACCTTTGACCTCAAAGTCAGTAGGGCTCATTTCCTAATTATGACTAACCTCCATGCCAAATATGAAGACTGTGGGTCAAAGGAATCTTAAGTTATTGGGCAGACAAGCTTTTTGAAGTCAAGGCCCCTGAAACCTTGACCTTTAACCTTGTGACCTCAAAGTCAATAGGGGTCATCTACTATTCATGACTAATGTCAATGCCAAATATGAAGACAATGGGTAAAAGGAATCTTAAGTTATTGGGCTGACAAGCTTTTTGAAGTCGAGGCCCCTATGACCTTGACCTTTGACCTGGTGACCTGAAAGTCAATAGGGGTCATCTACTAATCATGACTAACCTCCATGCCAAATATGAAGACTATGGGTCAAAGGAATCTTAAGTTATTGGGCGGACAAGCTTTTTGAAGTCAAGGCCCCTGTGACCTTGACCTATGACCTGGTGACCTCAAAATCAATAGGGGTCATCTACTTATCATGACTAACCTCCATGCCAAATAAGACGACTGTAGATCAAAGGAATCTTAAGTTATTGGGCGGACACGCTTTTTGAAGTCAAGGCCCCTGTGACCTTGACCTAGTGACCTCAAAATCAAAAGGGGTCATCTACTAATCATGACTAACCTCCATGCCAAATATGAAGACTTAGGGTCAAAGAAATCTTAAGTTATTGGGCGGACAAGAAAAACCGACGGACAGCTGGACAAGCTGATTCCAGTATACCCCCCTTACAACTTTGTTGTGCGGGGGTATAATTACAAAAAAATGTATAGAAGACCTACCAGCATTGCATATTCCTAAGGGGTAATCTTGGGGATTCACAGCCTGGGGAGTAACAGTTAGGATGGAATACACTGTCGGCCTCTTCTGTAGCAAGGTAATAGAAACAGCCTGCCGGAGGACATGTGTAGGGGATGAAATCTGGTGAAACTGTAAAACAGATATATCAAAATTATGTCAATGAGTTACATGTACTACAATACAATGGACATGGAAATAGGCAGTGATAATTCCAGGTGACTGGTCACATGAACATTTTTGGTTTACTTCTGTGTTCAAATTATCCCATAAAAAACATACACATGTACAGTACGCTCAGCGCGGCTTTTGCAAAACCCGCGTGACCCCACAGATGAGATTAACCGCGGACGCAAAATTTGCTCAGATATTGTCCGCATGCCCCCGCGGACAAAAAATTTTCAAAACCATTTCCCCCGCAGATCGCAGTGGTAAATTGCGGAGGAACGCGTTGGTCAAACACCGGTCAACGCGGTGGAAACCTTAAATTTTAAAAATTAATTACTGTATTTTAACATCAGTATACGTACGTACTGTAAAATGTACTGTACATATAACTATATGTAAAATTTGTTTATTTGTTTTCTTTTTTGTTGTAATAAAAGTACATGTACAAATGCAGTGTATTTCTTGTTCTTCTTCTTGTTATTGTCTTGGGTAATGTATAATATGTATTCGACATCAAGATAAATCATTGTCGTCGCAACTTCATGGTAGTCGAATAATGAAAAATTCGGCATATGACATTTATGAAAAAGATACTGCAACAATTTATATGCCAGCTTTTGTTTCTTATTTAAAAACTATGAAAAAGTAACCCTCAACAATTTATTCAGGCAATATTCCAAGACGTCTCTTTCAATTGTCAGATGCGTTTTACTGTTTCTGTTTATTTGCATGTTGATAATAAAGTCTTACATTTTATTTGGAACATTAAAAGAAAGAGTTTATTTCACCAAAATATACATAAAATGATATTCTTGATTTATCTAATTACAGGTGTGAGGGTAATGTATATGTTTTGAAGTTTGTATCAACTATTGAAGTTTATTTTCATTTTTGTTTTAGTAGTTTGTTCTTTTATTTTTTATAGTTTTTTTTTTGCAGAATTTTGTTAAACTTGACGTTATACTTTTTGTTATTTTATTATGAACAGTATGCATGTACATACATGTATATAAGGCAAACAAGCACATGTCCATTATTTTCTAAGAACTTCCATCGACCGATTTTCAAGTTAAAAATATTTCATTTTATTTTTATCTTAAGATATTATTGTTCATAGGAATAATAGTATTTGTAGACAACATGTAGTTTTAAGTACATACAATTGAATATTAAAAACAACAACAAAAACAGGTACAGATGTAATAATTTTTATTTCGAATTCCGTTCAAATAATTTAACGTATAATAACATTTAAGGAGTCGATTGTGGTCAATTTTCAAGTCATTGTGTAAACAAGGGTGCCATAGTCACAAAATACGCCCGTTTACGAAAGCTTTAGATTGAGATGGGGGCATTATGGATAAGTGTTATCTAGCAAGCAAGTTTTTATCCTTGGCACTGTGTTGTTAAATAAACCTTAAAACAAATCAGTAGGGAAGATATGCACAGGATGCGTGACCTTGACCTTGGTCGCAGGGACCTGAATAATGCACGGCACTCAGCCTCACAATGATGAACATTTGTGCCAAATTATATTGAAATCTCTCCATGCATGTAGAAGTTTTGCTCCAGACAAGCGTTTTGCTATGAGCTCCAAATAAAATCCATCAATAAATGATGACTAAATGGTCCCTATACACATCTTCAAACTTTTATCTAAACTTTGACCTCTATGTGTGGCCTTGACCTTGACTGCAGAGACCTGAATTTTGTGCGCGACACTCGGCCTCACAATGGTGAACATTTGTGCCAAGTTATATTGAAATCCCTCTATGATTGCATGTGGAAGTTTTGCTCTGGACAAGCATTTTTCAATGAGCTCTAAGTGTGACTTTGACCTTTGACCTAGAGACCTAGTTCATGTGCGTGACATGGCTTCTTATAATGGTGAACATTTCTAAGAAATTTCATTAAAATCCCTTCATGCGTGTAGGAGATATGCTCCGGACAAAATCTGGTTATTTCATCATCTTTAGTGACCTTGACCTTGTATATATTGACCTAAATTATATTATCACAGCCAAAGTCTTGATAATGACCATTTGTGTTACAATCCCTCAATAAATGATGACTAAACGATCCATATACACATCACCATATTTTTATCTGAACTTTGACCTCTATGTGTGACCTTGACCTTGGCTGCAAGGACCTGAATCTTGCGCACCACACTCCGCCTCACAATGGTGAACATTTGTGTCAAGTAATATTTAAATCCCTCTATACATGTGGAAGTTTTACTCTGGACAAGCATTTATCAATGAGCTTTAAGTGTGACCTTGACCTTTGACTTAGGGACCTGGTTCATGTGCGCAACACTGCTCCTTATAATGATGAACATTTCTATGAAGTTTCATTAAAATCCCTCCATACATGTAGGAGATATGCTCCGGACAAAATCTGGATATTTCATCATCTTTAGTGACCATGACCTTGTATATATTGACCTAAATTATATGCATCACAGCCATAGTCTTGACAATGACCATTTGTGTTACAATCCCTCAATAAATGATAACTAAATGGTCCATATACACATCACCATATTTTTATCTGAACTTTGACCTCTATGTTTGACCTTGGCCGCAAGGACCTGAATCTTGCGCGCGACACTCCGCCTCACAATGGTGAACATTTGTGCCAAGTAATATTGAAATCCCTCTATACATGTGGAAGTTTTGCTCCGGACAAGCATCTTTCAATGAGCTCTAAGTGTGACTTTGACCTTTGACCTAGAGACCTGGTTCATGTGCGCGACACTGCTCCTCATAGTGGTGAACATTTCTATGAAGTTTCATTAAAATCCCTCCATACATGTAGATATGCTCCGGACAAAATTGGACGCCGCCTGCCCGCCCGCCCGCCAAGGGGCGTTCCCATAATACTTCCCGTTTTTCAAACGGGCGTATAAAAAGATGACGTTAAAAAATAACAAGAGCCCGGTTTGAGCCGGGTGATGCTCCCCGAATAGGTTTTGGACACAGGAAAGTACACCTCTTGTAGTTTCAGACCTATGTCCCTGGAAAAAGTTCAAAGTGCAATAATTCCAAAATTAGGAAAGGCAGCGTTACTGTTCTTTGCACTGCTTTTCTAATCACTGTTATCTATCAACTTACAAAGTTTCTTGTTGATATCTCTTATGGTTTCCGAGTTATGTTCTGGACAACTTCAACAAGAGCTGTCAGTAAACAGCAACGCTCGACTATTCTTAGTGCTTGATAGTAAAAAAAATGATTGATACAGTTACCTCCTCCTGTTTACAGGTTGGGGCCATGATGGTGAACAAGTGTGCAAAGTTTCAAAGCCATATGTCAGTGGACTTTGAAAATATTTGAACTATTACAAAAACTTTAACGTAAATTCTAAGTCGAAAAAGGGGCATAATTCTGTCAAAATGCTTGATAGAGTTACCTCCTCCTGTTTACAGGTTGGGGTCATGATGTTGAACAAGTGTGCAAAGTTTCAAAGCCATATGTCAATGGACTTTGAAAATATTTGAACTATTACAAAAACTTTAACGTAAATTCTATGTCAAACAAGAGCTGTCGGTAGGACAGCATGCTTGACTATTCTTAGTGCTTGATAGTAAAAAAAATGCCTGATACAGTTACCTCCTCCTGTTTACAGGTTGGGGTCATGATGGTGAACAAGTGTGCAAAGTTTCAAAGCCATATGTCAATGGACTTTGAAAATATTTGAACTATTACAAAAACTTTAACGTAAATTCTAAGTCGAAAAAGGGGCATAATTCTGTCAAAATGCTTGATAGAGTTACCTCCTCCTGTTTACAGGTTGGGGTCATGATGTTGAACAAGCATGCAAAGTTTCAAAGCCATATGTCAATGGACTTTGAAAATATTTGAACTATTACAAAAACTTTAACGTAAATTCTAAGTCGAAAAAAGGGGTATAATTCTGTCAAAATGCTTAATAGAGTTACCTCCTGCTGTCTACAGGTTGGGGTCATGATGTTGAACAAGTGTGCAAAGTTTCAAAGCCATATGTCTATGGACTTTGAAAATATTTGAACTATTACAAAAACTTTAACGTAAATTCTAAGTCGAAAAAGGGGCATAATTCTGTCAAAATGCTTGATAGAGTTACCTCCTCCTGTCTACAGGTTGGGGGTCATGATGGTGAACAAGTGTGCAAAGTTTCAAAGCCATATGTCAATGGACTTTTGAAAATATTTGAACTATTACAAAAACTTTAACGTAAATTCTAAGTCGAAAAAGGGGCATAATTCTGTCAAAATACTTGATAGAGTTACCTCCTCCTGTCTACAGGTTGGGGTCATGATGGTGAACAAGTGTGCAAAGTTTCAAAGCCATATGTCAATGGACTTTGAAAATATTTGAACTATTACAAAAACTTTAACGTAAATTCTAAGTCGAAAAAGGGGCATAATTCTGTCAAAATGCTTGATAGAGTTACCTCCTCCTGTCTACATGTTGGGGTCATGATGGTGAACAAGTGTGCAAAGTTTCAAAGCCATATGTCAATGGACTTTGAAAATATTTGAACTATTACAAAAACTTTAACGTAAAATCAAGTCGAAAAAGGGGCATAATTCTGTCAAAATGCTTGATAGAGTTACCTCCTCCTGTCTACAGGTTGGGGTCATGATGGTGAACAAGTGTGCAAAGTTTCAAAGCCATATGTCAATGGACTTTGAAAATATTTGAACTATTACAAAAACTTTAACATAAGTGGTTACGCCGACACCGACGCCGACGCTCGGGTGACTGCAATAGCTCTACTTATTCTTATCGAATAGTCGAGCTAAAAAGTAAAAATAAACAAATGGCAATAACTCCAGAATTAGGCAAGACAGAGTTATGATTCTTGTGCACTGCACATTTACCCATTGAGATACATCTACCTACAAAGTTTCATGTTGATATCTCTTATAGTTTTACAGCTATGTCCAGTACAAGATTTTTCTAAAAGGGGAGATAATTCAAAATGAGGCTTAACAGAGATATGTTTTTTTGCACTGCACTTCTACTCAATGAGATCTATCTACCTACAATGTTTCATCTTGTTATCTCTTATAATTTTAGAGTTATGTTCCGGACAAAGTTCAGTGTAATAATTATCAAAGGGCAATAACTCCAAAATTAGGACAAAAAGAGTTATTGTTCTTATGCACTGCACATCTACCCATTGAGATCTATTCACCTTCAAAGTTTCATGTTGATATCTCTTATAGTTTTAGAGTTATGCCCCAGACAAGATTTTTTTCTTTAAGGGGAGATAATTCAAAAATGAGGCTTAAGAGTTATGGTTCTTTTGCACTGCACTTCTACTCAATGAGATCTATCTACCTACAATGTTTCATCTTGATATCTCTTATAGTTTAAGAGTTATGTTCTGGACAAAGTTCAAAGTGTTGAAATTAACAAAGGGCAATAACTCAAAAATTAGGACAAAAAAGAGTTATTGTTCTTATGCACTGCACATCTACCCATTGAGATCTATTCACCTACAAAGTTTCATGTTGATATCTCTTATAGTTTTAGAGTTATGCCCCAGACAAAATTTTTCTATAAGGAGAGATAATTAAAAAATGAGGCTTAACAGAGTTATGGTTCTTTCGACTGCACTTCTACTCACTGAGATCTATCTACCTACAATGTTTCATCTTGATATCTCTTATAGTTTTAGAGTTATGTTCCGGATAAAGTTCAAAGTGTTGAAATTAACAAAGGGCAATAACTCCAAAATTAAGACAAAAAAGAGTTATTGTTCTTATGCACTGCACATCTACCCATTGAGATCTATTCACCTACAAAGTTTCATGTTGATATCTCTTATAGTTTTAGAGTTATGCCCAAGACAAAATTTTTCTATAAGGAGAGATAATTCAAAAACCGGGCAAAATAGAGTTATGGTTCTTTGACACTGCACTTCCCCTCAATGCCCTCTACCACTGTATGAAATTTAAACAAATTATCTCCAAGGGTTTTCAAGTTATGCTCCGGACAAGAAAACGGACGAACAGACAGACGTACGGACAGACGGACAAGGTGCCAACTATATGCTCCCCCGATATTTTTTCGGGGAGCATAATAAAACGTCTATCATTTTTGGAGGTTAATTTATACTGACCAACTGACCATGGTGTTCCCCCATGGGAAACGGGTGTCTGATTTTATCGATGAATAAAGAACGGTCGTCAGAATTTTGTCCGCGGTGGAAACAACTAAACACCGAGGATCGCGGGGAAATTAGGCTTCTCATCGCGGATGAACCCCCGCGTTTGTCCGCGATAAAAAAAAATCGTCCGCAGTGGTATCGCGGAAAAAGCAAAACCCGCGGTGAGCGTACTGTATGTCTTGAAATAAAGTGTGGGGCTTAGTTTATTCTTATTTGAAATCTGCAAGCATTTTGTCCTCAATAACTTATACTGGCTTCAAAAAAGTGTAAATTAAAATTATTTGAGTAAATTCAAAATCTGCAAAAGGTTCCAAATGCATAATGAAATTTGTAAGTATGAAAGATTCTTAAAACTTAGAACTTAAAGGTTAAAACATAGGGAAAATAGGCATGTGTAAATGCATTTGATGCATGAAAATATAGTCATAACAATACTAAATATCATAAAGTTACCTTAATTTCACCCTATATCATGGCACATTTTTTTTTTTACTTTCTTAAATGCTTATTTAAAATAAACATTGCATTTGATACTATCCGATTAGACTGTGTCATTTTGCTTCCAAATCATTGTTGTAAATTGCAAACTTAAGAATGTAGTACTATACAACCAAAACATAACATTTTAGCACTGTTCAACCTAAACAAAGCATGACAGTTCTAAATAACCTCAGCGAAACACAAGACAAGTAAAATTTCACAACCTTGACAAAATATAGTACACAAATCAAATATACAGTTAAAGAAACCTTAATAACAATCAGTACAAAACAATACATATATTCACAACATGCTCATGCATATTCAAGATTGAAAGCAACAATTATTTTCTTAATTTTTTTCACTGCTTGGTTTTACAATGCACAAAATATGCTATGCTTAAATCATTATTTCAGGTATGTGCATGCTGTTAAAACATTACACCAGGTATATGTGTGCCATTCAAACATTATTTCAGGCACAATTGAATGCCATTTAAACTAATATTTCTGGTTAACATAACTAAAATATTTTCAGGTACATCTATATATATATATATATAGGCCATTCCAAGCATTAATTTAGGACACAATTATTTATGTCAATTCAAACATTATTTCAGGACATGTATGCCATTAAAATCATTTTTTCTGGTACATGTATAATATGACATTCATAACATTATTTCAGGCACACAAATATGCCAATCAAAACACTTTCTTAGGACTGTAGGTCAATCTAAAGACTATTTCAGGACAACTGTACCATGCCATTCCAAACATTATTTCAGGTAAATGAGCCTCATTCAAACATGTATATGTAAATCAGAATTTCTGGCCAATGTATGCCTTTTTTAGTATTATTTCAGGCAAATGGAGACACTATGAAAGAATAGCACAAACAAACAATACTTGATACACTTGATTCCATAATTATATTTAAAACAAAACATTACAGACTAATAACCTAATTTCAAGTTAACATCATTCTATTATAAATTTTGATGTAACATGAAACACAATACATTAGGAAATCAATCGAAGCCTTTATTAAATTTATAAATGCAGAACAAATTTAAAATACAATCATAACGAGAAACTTTAAAAATTCTTTTTAAAAAAGTGTACTCATGGCAATGTTTTGAAATCATTCTTTTTATATAAATAAATACAGTTGAAATCAAGAATGCTTAAAATTATGACAATGGGCTATATTCTTTACAAGAATACATGCTTTTGTAAAATCTTTATATTTTCATGGGAATATTTTAGTCCTTTTTATTTTTTTTATTTTGATGATAATTTATCAATTTTTACATCATATGTTAAGATGTTTAATGACCCGTTACCTTGGAAACATCATACAATGTATAATGGACAAGCCAGATTTGAATCTCTTCATTAATATTTTTGGGGGTTTCAGCATCCATAATTTACCAGACTGTTTTAGAAAAAATCGAGGCAAAATAGTGATTTTTGGCAATTTTGAGATGCCCCCTCGTTGCCATGGTAACAGGAAATTTAAGACTGAGCATGTCGTTACAAAGGCAATGGTCCAGTCAACATTTGTGCCAAGTTTGATTAGTATTGAAGCATTTTTCATAGTTTCATAGCAGTTTGAACTTGTAACAGGAGGCTTTTCAGTGAAAACGGCCATTTTTCACAATATGCTCATGGGGGAAAGGGTTAATGTAACAAGAATGAGAGCTACTTCAAATCAACAGGCAAGTTGTTAATGGTGATACAATAATTAAAGGAAATATTGAACAAATTATCTCACAAGATATATTTATATAGTATTGCATAAAAGGGAAACAACTCCTATTACATTTTTAAATGAAAATGGTGTGATATTATCAAAGGGGCTTACTTAAATTTCAAAAAAAGTATAGAAGACCTACCAGCAGCGCCTGGGGAGTCGCAGAATACCTCATCGGTTTCAGGGAACATGTAGGGCCTGGGTGTAACTGTAAAACAGATATATCAAAATTATGACAATGAGTAACATGTACAACAATACAATACATATGCAGTGATAATTCCAGGTGACTGGTCACATGAACGTTTTTTGGTTTACTACTGTGTTCAAATCATCCAATAAAACACATACACATGTATGTCTCAAAATAAAGTGTGGGACTTAATTTATTCTTATTTGCAATCTGCAAGCATTTTGTCCCCAATAACTTATACTGACTGTGAAAAAGTGTAAATTACAATTATTTGAGTAAATTTAAAATCTGCAAAAGGTTCCAAATGCACTATGAAAGTATGAACTTTTGAAAGATTCTTAAAACTTAGAACTTAAAGATTAAAACATAGAGAAAAGTAAGCATGTGTAAATGCATTTGATGCATGACAGTACTAAATAACCTCAACAAAACACAAGACAAGTAAAATTTCACAACCTTGACAAAATATAGTACACAAATCAAATATACAGTTAAAGAGATCTTTCTCATAAAGAGTACAAAACAATACATATATTCACAACATGCTCATGCATATTAAAGATTAAAAGCAACAAAATTATTTTCTTAATTTTTTTCATTGCTTGGTTTTACACTGCACAAAATATGCCATGTTTAAATCATTATTTCAGGTATGTGCATGCTGTTAAAAAACATTACACCAGGTATATGTGTGCAATTCAAACATTATTTCAGGCACAATTAAATGCCATTTAAACTAATATTTTAGGTTATAATAACAAAAATATTTCAGGAACATCTAGGCCATTCCAAGCATTTATTTAGGACATAATTATTTATGTCAATCCAAACATTATTTCAGGACATGTATTTATTACATGTATAAATGCAGAACAAATGTCAAATACAATCATAACAAGAAACTTAAAAAAAAAGTGTTCTCATGGTAATGTTTTTTCATTTTTTTTATATCAATAAATGCAATTGAAATCAAGAACACTTTTAATTATGACAATGGGCTATATTCTTTACAAGGATACATGCTTTTGTAAAATGTTTATATTTTTGTGGGAATATTTTAGTCCTTTTCTTTTTTTTATTGTGATAATAATTGATTTAAGAGGTTTATTGACCTGTTACCTTGAAAACATCATACAATGTATAATGGACAAGACAGATTTGAATTTGGAACTCTTCATTAATATTTTTAGAGGTTTCAGCATCCATTACTTACCAGACTAAAAAATTGTTTTAGACTTGTTCATTATTATTTAGGTGGTTTCACAAATAATTTTGATACTGTCCATTTTAATAAACACAGTTTAAATACCAAAAATTAAAAAATAAGCAAACCCTAGCCATCATATTATAACAATAGAACATTGAATTTTTTTCCAACATTACACAACCATTTAAAATTTTTGTCTTATCATATAAGATCGTTATAAAAATTATTTAAAACTTGTAATAAAAGTAAAAAAATTACCTGGAGTGAGGTATAGGTCTCCTGCTGGTTCTGTTATATTCATATAGGAGTAGTCCCAGAAATATGGTTCCTTGTAAGAATATAAAAATATTTCATCAACATCTAGCCTATCTTCAGGTTCGGATATATTTTTGTAACTAACAAAGAAGAAAAAATTTTCCATTCAATAATTAAAAGCTCAAACAAACCAAGGGCTTGGTGTGAAAGGGTTGTAACTCATACTAAATAAAGAAGGAGTTACGACTCTTTCACACAAAGATGTCAAATTTCAACATTCATTATCTATATAACAAGAGCTGTCGGTAGGACAGCACGCTCGACTATTCTAATTGCTTGATAGTAAAAGAGCCTTGATAATGTTAAATTTTTTAAGTTCACAAAAAGGCTATTTTTTTTTATAAATTCATGTTATAGGTCTTAGAGAGAGTCTAATTATACAGTATTGGCTTGACTATTTGGAAGGTAATGTCACAAGGGTGCTTTATTGCGTATAATGATACGAATTACCTATGAATATATAAAATTGACAGAAAAGGTACAAAGGCTTGTTATTAAGATGTTTTATCAAGTAAATCACTGCTTTATTATTACAAATGCATAAAATTGTCCTAAAAAAGGCACAAACCCTTCCGTAGTTATGGAGATAACAGCTTACAAGCAAAACTTTACCATGAATTTTTTAAGTTGAAAAAAGGAAGAAAAATCAGCCTAAATGCAAGATAGAATTATGGATCTTTGTCAGTGACCTACAATTCTGACCCTTAATGCATATGTGAAGTTTTAAATAAATATCTTTAATAGTTATTGAGATATGTAAAACTTGCATGTAAACATTAACCAAGAGATTAAGTAGAAAAGGGGATATGAATCAGCCTTTATGCAAGATAGAGTTATGGAACTTGGTCAGTGACATACAATTATGACCTTCAAATTATAACCCTAAGTACATGTGTAAAGTTTCAAGTAAATTATATCTTTGAAGACCTTTAACCTTTAACCAAAATCTCTAAGTTTCAAAGGGGCAAATAATTCTGCAAATATTGCAGTCAGAGATATGCAATTTAGCAAAATGATGTACATTGTGACTATAAACAAGAGCTGTCGGTAGGACAGCATGCTCGACTATTCTTAGTGCTTGATAGTAAAAAAAATGCCTGATACAGTTACCTCCTCCTGTTTACAGGTTGGGGTCATGATGGTGAACAAGTGTGCAAAGTTTCAAAGCCATATGTCAATGGACTTTGAAAATATTTGAACTATTACAAAAACTTTAACGTAAATTCTAAGTCGAAAAAGGGACATAATTCTGTCAAAATGCTTGATAGAGTTACCTCCTCCTGTTTACAGGTTGGGGTCATGATGTTGAACAAGTGTGCAAAGTTTCAAAGCCATATGTCAATGGACTTTGAAAATATTTGAACTATTACAAAAACTTTAACGTAAATTCTAAGTCAAAAAAGGGGCATAATTCTGTCAAAATGCTTGATAGAGTAACCCCCTGCTGTCTACAGGTTGGGGTCATGATGTTGAACAAGTGTGCAAAGTTTCAAAGCCATATGTCTATGGACTTTGAAAATATTTGAACTATTACAAAAACTTTAACGTAAATTCTAAGTCGAAAAAGGGCATAATTCTGTCAAAATGCTTGATAGAGTTACCTCCTCCTGTCTACAGGTTGGGGTCATGATGGTGAACAAGTGTGCAAAGTTTCAAAGCCATATGTCAATGGACTTTGAAAATATTTGAACTATTACAAAAACTTTAACGTAAATTCTAAGTCGAAAAAGGGGCATAATTCTGTCAAAATACTTGATAGAGTTACCTCCTCCTGTCTACAGGTTGGGGTCATGATGGTGAACAAGTGTGCAAAGTTTCAAAGCCATATGTCAATGGACTTTGAAAATAATTGAACTATTACAAAAACTTTAACGTAAATTCTAAGTCGAAAAAGGGGCATAATTCTGTCAAAATGCTTGATAGAGTTACCTCCTCCTGTCTACAGGTTGGGGTCATGATGGTGAACAAGTGTGCAAAGTTTCAAAGCCATATGTCAATGGACTTTGAAAATATTTGAACTATTACAAAAACTTTAACATAAGTGGTTACGCCGACGCCGACGCTCGGGTGACTGCAATAGCTCTACTTATTCTTATCGAATAGTCGAGCTAAAAAGTATTGTAAATTTCAAATGAATATCTCAAGCAATAATTGAGATATTTGATTTTACAAAAAAACTTTAACCAAAATTTCTAAGTTTCAAAGGGGCATAATTCTGTCAATATTGTACGCAGAGTTATCCAACTTGTCAATCTGATGTACCTTGTTACTATAAATAAGTATTGTAAGTTTCAATTGAATATCTCAAGCAATAATTGAGATATTTGTCTTTACAAAAACTTTAACCAAAATTTCTAAGTTAAAAAGGGGCATAATTCTGTCAATATTGTAGGCAGAGTTATCTAACTTGTCAATCTGATGTACCTTATTACTATTAATAAGTATTTTAAGTTTCAATTGAATATCTCAAACAATATTTGAGATATTTTTCTTTATAAAAAACTTAAACCAAAATAAAGTAAAATTTATTGTGTCCGAATACAATATTTTAGTTGTTATTGTGGGTTTTTTTTATTTACATTATGTGAAAATGTCTAAAAAGAATGTTTGCTTCTTTCATTATTTATTTTGTTACCCAAAGTTACTTTGCATGAATAGCACTGGGATATTCTAAATAAATAAGCTTCTTATAGTATGCAGAAGCAATTTACCCAACAAAAACTGACAACAAAAATTTAACCACACTATAATTATAATCAGCAGAAAAATAACCAACCATTTCCAGTCAACTAGTTATAACAAAAGCACTTACAACATTTGACCAAGGTCTGGTTGACTCTACCCAGTTGGTTCCAGGCTGTCTCATACTGAAATTCAAAATGCAAAACAATTAAAAGTCTTACTTTAAAATAAACATGAAAACTTACTGCTACTGGTAGACTGATCTGTTACAATCATAAAGAAACCCTGTTCATGAAACAAAACAGTGCCTGTCTGTTCAAAAAAATATAAAAAAAATTTAGTGAAATTTCCAGAGATTTGAAAATCTGACCTTTCAGGTTAAGGTCATCTTGGGGTCAAGGTTATATTTTCATAACAGGAAGAAAATCTATCTATAGAATAAATAATTTAAAGCCAAGGTGATTGTTGTCAGTAAGGATATAAGATGGTAACAAAACATCTGATTTGACAATCAGTACTGAGGTACAAAAATTTAAAATTTAAACTTTGAAGTGAGATTTGGCCATATCTCCAACAACAACTTTAGTTAGTCAACTAGCTAGATTATAATCTTCTGGTGAAGTTTTAGTATTTACCTTCAATTAATAGATTAAGTATTTTTATCATAAATATCATACCTCAACTCAGGGTTAATATACCATTCACCTTCCCATTGCCAGCTGGGTGTGGGTACTTCCTGTTGGTTCTCATACTAAAAAATCAGTTTAAAACTTTATTATTCTTGTCTTGAAACATTTTTTTGTACTTACTGAAACAATCTTCCTAGCATGTGTCTTAAAAGTATAGTTTGGTATTCTTATAAATAATTTTCTCTATATATTTAAATTATGAAATGAAATTACAGCATGATCAACTAGGATTTTTCACTACAGTGAAGCCAATACTCTCACACTTACTGTACTTATTAATAATATCAATACTTGTATGACTGTGTAAGTCAGATATTTCTCTGTATATCATAAGTAATGCATGCTATAATAGTTAAAATATGACCGTTATAGTCACCCAAAATGTGAATAGAAAAAACTTTCTCTCTAAAAAATTTTGAACATGAATGAAAAGACTAGCAAACCAACATGCACAAGTGTATTGCATTCAAGCGCAGCACCATTAATATGAAGATTCTGTATTAAAATATCAGACATCCATGATATTCTAGAATAAATTCTAAACTCTTCTTATTTAAACAATCAGATGATATGAAATCAAAGAGAACTTGAATATTAAATTGTTTTAACTTTTGTACTATCTACATCATTTAAAATATACGTCAACCCATAAAATTCAGAGGAACAGAGATCAAATTACTTACAGTTTCAGCAAACACTGCCATTTCACCTTCTTTCTGCATCTGGTGCCATGCGTCCTCCTCGGACTGCAGGCCGAGCCAAAGTTTGATCCTCAAAAGAGCTGGTACATCATGTTTGTTCTCTTGCTTGTGACCAGGGTACTGTGTTCGGGGAAATAACAAAAACATAAGTTTTAGTTGTAGCAATAACACAAATAAAGTTATGAACTTGTTTTCATTATCTTTTCAGTTCTATACTTAATAAGCATTCTTTGAGTATTCCTGATATAATTTATAGTTATGAATAATTCTGCTGAAAAGATTAATTAATATTAATATTTCTATTAATATTTCTAGAAGAATGATATAATTATGAAAAAAACAAATGGTCCATGGTGAAACAAAATATGAATACAAATAAAAAATGAGGATAATGTCATTTCAACAAAGATTTTTCTAATCTACTTATTTTTTCCCCACCCTTCCCTTTTTAAAAAACAAAAATAACTCTCCCCTTTTCATTGAAATATTTTGGGTATTTGCCACTTTCCCTCCCACAATAAAAACGGGTTTTTTGGGTTTAGAGGAGATTTATTGTGGGAACGGTGGGAACCCTATTCTCTTCTCTCCGCTAATCATCCAGATTATTACATCTGGCATACTGTTCTGAGGCTAAAAGGTATATAATTTAGAGCATTTAATGTAACAAGAATTCTAGGGGTTTTGTTGAAAATCTTTTTAGCAGTTAAGAAGATGGCAATCTAAAATTATTTCCATCAAATCTTTCCTTCTTTTTTAAAGGAACTCCACTTAGGTTTTTCGAACATCAATGATTGGAATTTTTTTTATGATTTTGAGATTTGTGTAGCCTTGATATAGATTGAGACTAATTGTATGCAAAATTTCAAATCAATCATCATTAATTTTGCTGACTTGATCTGTTTTTCAGTATAAAATTATGTTTTGTGCAAAGTATTCCAAAATATTACAAACTAAAAATTGCACAATTCTTTTTTTTCAATTTAAATCTGAGAATATTTCTTATTAACCCTTTCCCTCATGAGCATATTGTGAAAAATGGTCATTTTCATTGAAAAGCCTCCTGCTTCAAAACTATTCAAACTTGGCAAAAAATGTTGACTGGACCATTGCCTTTGTAACAACATGCTCAGTCTTAAATTTTTCTGTTACCATGGTAACGAGGAGACATCTCCACTTTTTTAAGCACAATTTCACAAAGAAAAACATGTGTTTGGTGCCAAATAGGACATTTCTTTGCTATTTGAGGCCTTAAAGAGGGGGGGGGGGGGGGGGGGGGGGCAGAAAGTGCATGCTTTGCGTATATATGAGGTAAAGTGTCAATGTCATTTAAAACCTAATGACCGAAAATAGTTACCTCTACAGCCAGGTTATGTAAGATTTTTTTAAAGTTTTCTGCCTCACTGAGTGCTATAATGATATCGGTGGCATTTTCTCGAAGGTTTGTTGCCTTCTCTATAAGGGTTTCCATCTCATACTGTCTATTGGTGGTTAACCAAGTATCTAGTTCTGTAGGTAGATGTGTACCTTTCTTTGGGGTAGGTAATGGTTTCCTGTAAATATTAGTATCGTATCAAGCACCATAAAAATAATAGCTGTGTAAGAACCTGAGCCCTAGTTAAACTCTAGACATATCATATATAAAAAACACTTAAGGTTTAGTTGAAACATATCTTTTAACAAGATTGTGAAAGAATGGCTCCAACTACATATTGATATCAAGTCTGCTTCCTGGAATTAATCAGTATTTGATGAAACACGGCCTTGAGCTAGTAAAATATTTTTTCCCCAAGTTCAGACAGTTTCTGACCAATCAAAATATCTGCGATCCGAGTTTCAGTTAAGAGATTTCTTTAAAATACTGCATCATAGTGGTCATGACTTGAGAAGGGTTCTAATGCTAACAGCCATACATCTTAACCCCAAGACTACCTTCCACTCATCTCTAATCTCACTAAAATCATATCATAAAGGACATTGTGTTAACATTATGTAAATTGTGTACTGTAGTCAAAACGGACTCCTATCTCACAATTTTGGCATAGATGCTTTACATTTTTTTTGAATCTCCTAACAGAGACACACTGACAAAATGAAAGACTTTCCTACAATTCAATCCAATGTCCAACTTCATGCAATAATTCATCCACAGGTGAATCCTTTTGAAAACCACTTATGATTTACTGCTTTACTCAGGGGACAATAATTGTATATAATTAGCTCACACAGAAGAAAGATTAAGCTAAACTTACTTGCAGTCTTCAACCAGCTGATCTAGAGCTGAAATCAGTAGCTGAGCTAGTTCTGGTGTTGGCAGTTTAGCTTTAATACCAACTTTAACTTGTTCAATGTTAGATTCCTACAAAATATTCAATAAATTTGATGAATGTTTTAGATAATAGCAAAAGAAACAACATAAATGTATAAAGAAATTGTTATCCAAATATGTCAATAAGCTGGGTAGGTGGTTACTTACATACATAATTTGAGGGTTGTCATGAAACTGTTGCAAGTCTTTATTTCAACGTTACTGCAGTTTTGTAGTCAAACCTCAGTATGCTAAATACTTTTAACAACAACTTCATACATACATAAAGTTTTAGGAGCAATATACAAAACTGTCATTATAAGGCCTTAAAAAAAAACAACAAGTATACATACGAGGGTTGTCCCAATATTCTGTGACAAGATAGTTTAAAAGCTAAATATAATAGGTACGGATTTGATATTTCAATATGTTATAAACCCATATAATTGAAACATTTTCACAAATTTACATAGAAAACTATCGGCAAACAACAAAAATATGACATAAGCACCATGGCAACTTACTGAATCCCGGCGCACGCCAAACCTCAAAGACAACGTTAAATCTATATCAGGCGCCTTTCTCAAATTATACTCTCAATGGCTTTCAACGCAATAATGGTTCCCATGAATCGTCAATTACAGACTTAAATCATGTGGTTGTTAATCTATGTTGCATGTTTGAATAGCATAGATTAAATTTTGCTATACGCAAACTTCTGGTCTCCTTGCACCTGCTTTTAGCTATACGAAATAGGCGACGAAGATCGGTCTTCCTATCCGTGTTTTCCTTATTTTCGTTTTTTGTAGCGCAAAAATCTGGTTCTGTTCATGCCTATAGTAAACAAATGCTCAGGATATGTTGCTAAACTGTTCTATTTGGTATAATGTGTCATCTCAAAATAGTCATGATACCTGAGTGACCTGTTCACTGTGCCGCAAATTCTTAGAACGTTGTCATTTTAACTTTCCTATTTTATACGAGATATTTTCATTTATTCGTCACTTTTTTGTTATTTAATTTATTTAACTAAAATTTTCTGAGATGATGTAAACATAGCAGCAAAGGAAGTCAACGTGACATTGTGCAGACACATCATCAGATATTTGAAAAATACGTCATTAATTTTAGCCTATTCATAACAAAATGCAAATTATTTGACATGCGCCGGCAACTCAACCTTATGTCGTTAATACTGAAAAATTTTAAGTAACTCGAGTGAATATTTTGTAAATAATTTGTTAAATTTGTTTAATAATGTTAAATAATAAAGTTAACGTTTATATGTGTGAATTATTTTCAATTGGCGTTAAAAATGAATCGTCTATAAAAATTAAAATTTGTCACGGACTTTTGGGACAACTCTCGTAAACTGTTAAAACATTGATCATTTTATATTAAGTAAATATGTTTATAATAACTAATCATCATTAAGTCCTGTGGCCTAGCAGGTCTTATTTTCTAGGGATGGAATGCAACCGTAGGCCTACATTGGTCTTATGAAGCAGTGCTGTTGAAGTTTGAACAGATTTGCGACATGGAATACACTTACTATATAAAGGGGCCTAGATGAACCAATTTGTTTATGACGAAAAGGGATTTGGGTGAATTCTCCCCTTGGCCAAATGAAGCAATACAGGTGAAGTTGACAGATTTTTAATGTAGAATACTTACTAGTGCAGCTATAATGCCTTCAAAGAAGTTCAGAGCCTCCAGTCTCCAGGCAATATCCTCCCACTCGGAGTCAACCACCACACAGGGCTTGATACCACCCAAAGGTTGGAAGTTATATTGAGTATCATCAAAAACAGCATTGGTCGGCTGGGTAGTTGATGTACACGGCAATGTGTAATAATCCAGCTTGTTACCGTAGTTACCTATAGAATTTAGTTATCTCCAATTATTCACATAACAGAGATCAATATTATGACAACATCTCCATTCCCAATGAATCATTCTTCATGTACAGTTATCATCTTTCATGCCAAGCCAACAATTAAGACTAGCAGAAACTTTTTGCTCAAAGAATGTCATATTCATTCAAAGAACACTTTAATTCAAATCATTAATGGGTTTAAAGAAAACTAGTTAGATATAAATTGATATACCATAGTTATTGTTTTTATCGCCTAACAGCTCGGGTGATATAAAATCTTAACAGGTAATATATCCACATATATCACTCCAAAACCAAAATAACATATAATATCTCTGTCTTTATGATAACTAAGATAAATGTCCAAGTAAATAACTTCCAGAACAGATACTGTAGACTCACCAAAGTGCAAACACTACAGTGCAAAATTTGTCCGTATTAATCCAGATTTCCTCTACAGTAAATTGTTGAGACACGCATATCATTACTCATTCTACTGCACTGGACCACCTAGGGTTAATGAGATGAACATATGATCTTATCAGGTGACCAGTCAGAACGCTAAAAGTATCCTATCAGAGTGGCCGCAAAAATTTTTTCTCAGACATTAATTACTTATAAAAAGATTATAGACGTTGTTTATTTAGTGTTTATTACGTGGATTTTATTACAATTAAACTTAATATTTACAGTGAAATATTGTGTTGGATTTTAACGTGTATTTGTTTGGACTATTAATTATATTTCAACACTGGATTTTTGTTCATAGACAAAGTGCAACATGGAGAACTCTACTAATGGGCAAAGTGTTTCTGTTCCAGTAGGGAACTTCACTTTCGCAAGCCCGACAGTCGCTTTGACCAGTACAGTAGGTGCTGAGGCGAACTGTGAAATTACTCCAAGAATTCTACCCCTGGAACCAGAGTTTGCGGACAGTAGGTCCAATATAATCTCTGCAACGGAAATAGAAAATCCGTTTCGTCAAAATAAAGGGAAGAAACAGGATGATGTGGGCATAAAATCGTACGTTGATGCGGAGCTTGCATCAACACGTCTCCTCTTACAACAACAACAACAAACACTATCATCGCTAGTTGAAAGTGTTGAAAAATTGTCATCGAAGAATACTACTACTATGCCTGACGAACATCCTGGATCACTGGTTTCAAGGCCTGAAAAACGCAGGTATCATGCGTTATCAGACTCGGATTCTGATGATAACTCGCAGTACACGGGTTATTCGTCCGACACACGGAGCATCGGAAGGGCTGACTTTAAGGAGAATGACGACATGCATTGTGGAAAAATACAGAAACTCGATGAACTTTTCGTACAGAAAACTAACTTTGGTCCACCTATAAATGAGAGTTTGGCAAAGTCAATAAATAGAGGAATTTCAAACAATTTCGACGTAAAGCAATGCTTGGAAATGGGTGAAAAATATCAAACACCAGAAAATTGTCAGTATCTCTGTGTCCCGAAGTTAAACGAGGAGCTGTTTTTTGAAGACAGTATCGATTCACGATACAAAAAGAATGATGCCATCCTTCAAAAGAATCAACTCATGCTAACAAAAGGAATGATCCCGATAGTAAAAATGATGGACATTATGCTAAGTAAGAAGACAGGAAATGAAGAGTTATTTGATCTTGCTACAGAAAGTATGCAATTGCTTGCATTTGCACACCGAGATTTATCGAACGTAAGAAGAAAAATGTTAAAACCAGCTGTTGCAAAGAAATATCAAAAGCTTTGCACTCCACACTTGCCTCTTACAAGTCAATTGTTTGGGGATGATCTTGAAAAAGAGTTGAAATCCATTACGGAAAGCAAAAGGATCGGGTATCTTGCAACAAATCACCCTGAAAAAAGCAAAAGACCACAACATAGTTCGTATCACAAAAAACCTAACACATCATCATTCAGGCACAGGCATTACCGTCAAGATGATACATCTTTTTTAGACAAACGCCAGATTTACCGGAGTCGAGGCAAACCTCACGGAAGAACACAGCACCAGCAACAACAGAAACACAAATTTCAGAAGTAGAAAAAACTGTGAGTATGCACTGTTTGTACAATACTCCAGATAAATTTCAAGCTGGGAATATTTCAAACCATTTTGAAAATTGGAATTTGATTACATCTGACAAGTACCTGCTTGAAATTGTCAAAAATGGATATAGTATTGAATTTCACTCTATGCCTGTGTTATCTCACCTTAAATGTAATAATAAATTCAACAGTAGTGAAATTTTATTTATCTCAGCAGAAATTGATAAGTTGTTAACAATGAGTGTTCTTACTAAGACTACATATTCACCAGAACAATATGTGTCTGGGATTTTCCTCAGACCGAAAAAAGATGGTACATACAGACTTATTTTAAACTTGAAAGGCTTAAATGAGTATGTAGAGAAACATCATTTTAAAATGGAAACATTAAAAACAGCTATTAATCTTGTTAAACAAAATTGTTATTTTGCAAGTATTGATTTTGCGCAGGCTTACTACAGTGTACCTATTGCTGAACATAGCAGAAAATATCTATGTTTTTATTGGCAAGGTGAAATTTACCAATTCACATGTTTACCTAATGGACTTTCTTCAGCCCCACGTGTATTTACAAAACTACTTAAACCCATGTACTCTACTTTGCGGAAATTGGGTCATTTAAATGTTGCTTACATTGATGATAGTTTATTGTTGGGTAACTCTAAGATGCAATGTAAACAAAATGTGTTAGATACTTTACACTTAGCAGATAATTTGGGATTTACGGTACATCAAGATAAATCTGTAACAGAACCCACCCAGCAAATTGTATTTGTTGGATTTATTATTTGTTCAGTGTCAATGACTATCAGGCTTACACCTGAGAAAGTAGATAGTATCATAAATCTTGCCAGGCTGTTATTAAATCAAACATATGTCTCAATTAGAATGCTTGCAAGCTTCATTGGCAAATGTGTGGCTAGTGACCCTGGGGTTCGTTATGCCCCGTTATACTATAAATCACTTGAGATAGAGCGAGATAACTTCCTAAGGGTTAATAGGGGGAATTTTGAGGCTATAGTAAAACTGTCGGATAAATCAAAGCAGGGCATACAATGGTGGATTGATAACCTCCCATCTGCTTATAAGCCAATTTCTTTGCAGAATCCAGATAGGAAAATGGAATCTGATAGTTCTGGGTTTGCATGGGGTTGTCACGATGTCACTTTTGATATAAAATGCAGTGGGGAATGGAGTGAGAATGATAAACAATATCACATTAATTACCTAGAATTAAAAGCTGCATTTCTTGCTTTAAAGCATTTATGTGCTCATGTGTCAAATGAGCATATTTATTTGTATTTAGATAATACAACAGCAATAAAATATATTTCTAAAATGGGAGGGAGAAAAGAACAGCTTAATGACCTGGCAAGAGATATTTGGTTATGGTGTATTGATCGTAATATATGGTTAAGCTGTTTTCATTTACCGGGACACATGAATAAGACTGCAGATAAATTAAGCAGAAAATTATCCGATGATATGGAATGGTCATTAGATTCCAATTGTTTTAGGACAATTGAACATCAATTTGGAAAATTTGATATTGATTTATTTGCTTCATCAAAAAATAATAAACTGAAATACTACGCAAGTTTTTTGCCTGATAATAAGGCATTCGCTATAAATGCTTTTTCTTTGAATTGGCGTGAATTTTTTTCTTACATTTTCTGTCCTTTCAGCATGATAGGGCCAGTATTACAGAAACTTTCCAACGACCAAGCGGAAGCAGTAATTATAGCTCCATTCTTTGCAACACAGCCATGGTTCCCACTACTTTTAAGCATGATTTGTCAGCAGTCATACCTCCTCCCACCGGTCGCAACGATTTTGAAAGCATGTCGGCCGGGACTAAAACACCCAATCCCGAAAATGAAACTTGGAGTCTTTCGAATCTCCGGGAAAAGCTTGTCTTGTCAGGGGTACCAAGAGACGCTGCCGATGTTATCATTACCGCTTGGCGAACAAGTACTCAAAAACAATATGGGTCGTATCTCAAAAAATGGCATGACTTTTGTAATCGGGAAAAAATTGATCAATTTCACCCACCTGTAAATTCTATCCTTCTGTTCCTATGTGACATGAAAAATAATGATTTAAGTTACAGCACGATTAATACAGCTAAGTCTGCCATTGTCAGTCAATCAAATTTGTTTTACAGTGATGATCTCGGAAATCATTTATTAATAAGAAAATTCATGAGGGGAATTTTTAACATTCGCCCGTCTTTCCCAAAATATAATTGTACTTGGGATGTAGAGACAGTTCTTAAATATTTGAAATGTTTGCACCCTTTAGATAAATTATCATTGTTAGATTTGTCTAGGAAACTAGTCATGCTTCTTGCTTTAACTACTGGTCAGCGTTTACAAACGCTGTTTTTGTTAGATATTCGAAACATTACATGTGCTGAAGATTTTGTGAAAATAAGAATAGGTGATCTGTTGAAGCAATCAAAGCCTAATAATCACCTCTCAGAAATTTATATCAATTCTTATTCGGATCATAAAATTTGTGTTGTAAAAACTCTACAGAGCTATATACAAAGAACAGAAAGTTTACGAACTGAGTGTCGTTTATTTATACGTACACAAAAGCCTCATTTTGGTGTATCCAAAGATACTTTATCTCGGTGGATTAAACATGTTTTAAAGGCTGCCGGTATTGACATTGCGCTATTTAGTGCGCACAGCACAAGATCTGCATCCTGCAGTGCAGTGTCTAGCATGGTACCTGTGAATACGATTCTCAAAACTGCAGGATGGAAGAAAGAGAACACTTTCCGTAAATTCTACAAATTAGATGTAACAAATGATTCATCATTTAGCACCAGCATTATCTCTGCTGGTGAAACAAATTAAGTTGTTTACAACTTTGGGTCAATCTTGACACTGATTATCTGATAACAGTATCTTAGATTTATGATCTAGGGGTGGTCAGCGTGCGAACATAGATGTTTGTGTAAATACATAGTTTCTCTTCTTTATTGTGTTTGTACAGTTCTAATTAAGTAGAAATGTAGATTTTGTTTTACTTGTGCAGTTATTATTGAGTATAAATGCGTACTACATTTTGTCTTTACAATATTGTTTTGTTGTATAAAGATGTTTATATATGCATATAGTATTTTACTCAATATGTTAGAATTTTGATAAATAAATATCAGTAGTATTTTAAACCATTTTATAGTGGTTATACTCTCTTCTCATGACTTATCAAAATGCGAGATTATTCTCTAAATTCTCATTAACCCTAGGTGGTCCAGTGCAGTAGAATTAATAAATTAAACGAGACTTACCTGGAAGTTGAAGTTCAATTATTATTCTACTGCTACTGGACCACAGGGTTTAATGCCCACCCGATTATATTATCCCACCCTATAAATAATTAATCATCGCATTTTGCATATTTATGCTCTGAAAGTCTGACTGGTCACCTGATAAGATCATATGTTCATCTCATTAAACCCTGTGGTCCAGTAGCAGTAGAATAATAATTGAACTTCAACTTCCAGGTAAGTCTCGTTTAATTTATTAATTATACATACCTATGCTAACTTCAAACTCCACAGGGGCATCTATAGCACTGACCATGGTTGCATTTAAGAAAGCTGCATGCAACTTAAAATGTCTTTTTCCCATATATTTCTGAAAAATTCACACAAGCAATTATTTTGAAAGTCTACTAATTTCTTGAAATCATTTTTAATTTATATCCAATTACAGTAACTATTTAAATATATTTATAATTCATGTGAACACAATTATTCATTGTACATTTTTCAACCTTTAGATGGATTGATTATCATTTCACTAGCATCATCTAATGTTCATTATTCACTTAAATAAACATTGAAAAAATCAATATGTTTAAAAATAACAAGTTTGTTAAAATTTCAACTGACAAGGGACTACGTGACCCGGGGCACGTTAACTGCACAATAAATGACGTTTATGACGTTGTAAAATAAAAACAAAATGTAACAAGCATCATCCCTTCCGAAAGAATTCTCCCTTAAAGTGTTCTGTGTGTCTAAATCATGTAACTTTGATCAGACCTCATATGTGGAGATGAAGCAAGAAAGAAAATTAAAATTACAAGTGCAACTGATTTCACTAACACCATTATTCTCATAGTAAATTACACTCACATTAAGAGTGAATTGTTAAATTATTATTACTAATACATATATAAATTGAGTTACATAAAGGTTGCCTTGAATGCTCAATATGAACATACTCTCATAGTCATAATGGGCTTTTAAAGGTAAGAATACTGACTTGAGGTGTAAAACCAGGATCATCTTCACCATCTTGTTCTTGTCTCTCATCATTATCAGCTGTATCAGTACCATCATTTGTCTTCTCCTCCTCGTTGGTTTCCTCTCCTTTATCTTCACCATCTTCTCCAGTCTTAACAACAAACATTTATACATATGTTATTATTTAGTTAAACATATCTTATTTAGCAAATTTACAAGCATGTATAATTTTACATCACAATTAATTGGTGAACAAGCAAAACATATACAGTATTAATTCCTTTCAATGTTTTAATATTACTAGTTTTTTGACAGTTTAGATTTCTGACAGATTATATGGCCTAATATAAATACAGATTATTTGGCCTAATATAAATACAGATTATATGGCCTAATATAAATACAGATTATATGGCCTAATATAAATACAGATTATATGGCCTAATATAAATACAGATTATTTGGCCTAATATAAAATACAGATTGTTTTGCCTAATATAAATACAGATTATCTGGCCTAATATAAATACAGATTATATGGCCTAATAAAAATACAGACTAATTAGTCTAATATAAATACAGATTATTTGGCCTAATATAACTGGTAAACTGTTAAAAGATCATTTTGGTTGGATGAAAAATATGATAAAATTCATATATTTTCATGAGCCAGAAATTAAACCCAATACATATAATATCAAGCAACCTTTTACACATGGCCAAATCATCTATCAAAAGTTATTTGTAATACTACACAACTGCTTTTTTTTATTCAAAAGGAAAATTATTCTATAAATGTGCTGTAGCTGTGTATATCGATAACATAAACATCACAAATGCCTTATGAAAATCACTGTCACGAACTTCCACTCCAGTATAACTTCATAAATAACTGAAACTACCCTATAAAATGTTGGGCAGTAGTCAGACAGCACATTTTTCCCTCCATAAAAGGATTTGTTAAAGATATATGTTAATAGAGGGAACACAACTTTACCTCTTGTTCATGTTTATCCTCCGTTTCTACTTTCTGTTCATCTTCAGCATTGTCAGGAGAATCTTCTGGTGGTAGTGCAGTGTCATCCTCCATTTCTTGCCCTGTATAAAAATTATCCTTTTTCCATGTAATGTATGCTTATACACTACACAATGTACTTTACAATGAAGCTTTGACAATGCCACAAAAACCAGCATTGAGCTGGACCAGCTCCAAATATGTCAAGTCTAAAGCACACTCTTTTGATGTCTTTTTTTTTGTTCTTTGTTTTTTAGTTGGGTTTTATGTCACAGCAACATAGTATAGGTCATATGACAACTTTACAGCTTTACTGGTTGTGGTAAACAACAGGTGCCCGTCTATTATTTCAGGAATAAATGGGCACCTGAGTAGAACCACAGACATACCGTAAACTAGCTGCAAAGCTTTCTCACATGAAAGATTCCAATATCCCTGTTGGAATTCGAAACCACAATGGGTTGGGGCAAGTGGTGTATTTTGATGTCAAAATCAATAAAACTTAAAATTGATGTCTCCAAGTTTAAAGCAGAACAAGTGCAAAACAAAATATTTTACATACATGTAGTAAAGCTTATATCAAACTACTAAAAGTGTCAATAATGTCTTACAGTTGTATACATTTAACCCTTCAATTGATGAATTTTTGGAATAGATTTTCCCATTTTTTTTTAGAGCAGTTCATTCAACTTTAAGGGATTTCAATATCAATATATAAAATCTGTGCTTCCAATAGCAAGATCAGTTGTAGACTAAGCTGTTTACTGGTGGCGAAAGCTCATTCATCTGATACATTTTATTTTAAATCATACCTGTTTCTTCCATTTCTTTTTCATCATCTTTACCACCATCGTCATTGTCATCATCAAAGTTAAGGTCATCTGGAAGGTCAAAGTCATCAGGGGCCTGCTGTTCTTCTTGTTTACCATGGTAAGGGTCAATTTGGTCATCGTCATAGTTATCCTATAAAATTAATACATGTATCAATAATGTTGATCATTCGCACATAAATTTCATGCTGTCTTTATCACTGTTTTGTCAGTAAAACTTTAAGACAGATATCAAAAACAAATGGCAGCTGCAGAAAGGTATACAAATGTTTTCAAAGATGGACTAGACAAGTCAAGTCATTAACTTCCATTAGACAGGTCAAGTCAGTAACTTCCATTTAAAACTGGAATGAATCTGTATAAAATTTCAAAGTCATGTACAAATTACACTTTAAAGCCTTAATCAGGGATAGACATTTATTATCAAATTATTATTGATTGAGTGTAAACATTTGATATTATATTTTTTATCTACAATTATGACATTATTATTACATTGCTTTACTTAATGAAATTGTCCATGTAATTTCTCTGAACAAAGAAGACTTTATCAAAAATGTAGCACACAATCATATTAAAACTGTCTTAACTAGAACAAATTTTACCTGATCTAGATTATCCAAGTTATTTTGTTTCTGTTTATCATCATTTTCCTCTTCTTCAGTCTCATCTTTGTTACCTTGTTCCCTATCCTTATCATTCTCAGATTTGTCAGCATTGTCATCTTTAGCAACAAGTTCTGGTTCACTTTGTTTACCATCACCTGGCCCAGATTCTTCTTCTTTCTCTTCCTGCATTATATTACAAAATAGTATCAGTTACCTTCCCTTTGTTTTACCTTATTCAATTTTGAGAAATGTCTAGGTTTTAAGCAGTCTTTTATAATATTCCTCCTTATTAACCCAATACAGTACCTCTGCTCAATATTTTCATACATCCCGCATATAGTAAGTTTTTCTTCTAAATATTTATCATACAGCTCAAGTCATACATGCCATATTTCCAGCCACCCAGATAGGGGGATTTGGCTATAAAAAGCAGGGGATTTGGACCAAAAGTAGGGGGATTTTTAAGCAAGCACAAACCAGTCGTAATCTTAAAACGATGCAAACATTTAATTAAATTTTCCCCATTTTATTATGAAAATGAACATTTCTACAAGTTTATTTGATATTTTCAAGTTTTAACGTACATGCATGACTGTGAAAGAATAATAGGTAAACAATTGCAAATAAACATAAGTACTTTAAATATTTGATGTAAATAAAATAAGAATCCCTGTAAAACAAATATAATTAATTGCATGTATATCATATAAAATACGTTTTTATATCAGATATATATTGAATCATTTTAGTACAAATAACTTGAATTTGATGCATTCAAAATCATTAAAATAAATATACTTTAACAGCCAAAGATTTTTCTCTTTAAATGAAAGGTTTCAGAGAATTTATGTAGCCATAGAAAGGTGAAATAAAAAAATACTGTCTAACAGTAAAAAAAAATCTGACACAAATCTTAATCCCTTATGTACTTCACACCTCAATTTGTAAACACACATTGATTGCCTTATATGGCAGTAGGGAGTCTAGACACTACGTCACTTGATACCTGTATGTACATGTAAACTGTGTAATTGATGCAGGGTTGTGTAAAGGTTTTTTGGAGTGTACTGACTACTGGATAATAATTGGACCTAATTATTTTGGCCCTTTGGGTGTTAAAACAGGTATTATTTATTATTTATCTGATTGAAACGGATTTTTACCTCTTTCAATCCCTCCTCAGTGTTTGTTGCTTACTGTGAGACAAAGCTAGTTTATATTATTTTTGCAACAACATAGATCACAGTTACATAAAAAATGATAGTTTCAAACATTGCTAATCTGTGATTCTTTGAGATTCTATTGCCTGATCATTATTTTTTTATCTGCACTTATCAACTTCAAAGACCCAATGCCGACAACAAACTCAAGGCGGGGTTACATAGCCCAACAAAATTTGATACGTCACACATTCAGTATCGGACGCTGTCATTGGTTAAGCACCTGCAATACTGACACTGATTGACAGGTTTATCAAAGAAGAATTTGTTATTTCTTGACAGCTGAAGTGTGTCGGAGTAACTAACAATACAATTATCCGTTAGACCCCTGCTGTTTAATGGGGAAATATTACTTCAGGCATATATATAGTTGTAAAAGTTGTTTAAGTCTATTGTTTAATTATGTTTATTGGTAAAAATGATGCTTTAACTTTTTTGTTGGTTGAATTTTTTAAAATCGGGGGATTTCGATCCCACGGCGGGAGATCGGGAGACATGGTGGAAAATCGGGGGTTTTTGTCCCCCGGCGGGGGATATGGCATGTATGGCTCAAGTGTACAATCTAAACATAATTTTTGAAATTGTTGACAAAGATTTAGCTAATTTGTATGTCAAATAAATATACATTTGTACCAGTCACTATTACCAATTACAGTCTAACTTGCCCATGCTACCATGTGTATTAAGCGACTTTTGTCTTAAATGACCACCTTAAATTCCCCCCGATCAATTTCTCTCTATATCTTTAAAGTATTTAGCAACTTTTGCTCAATGCAACCAGCGACCGCTTATTAGTCATCAATCTTTTCATTAAACAACCACTTTTATCTGTCAAGTAATTGTGTTTTTAGAGAATGCTGCCTCGTAAAGTGTCAAAAATCAAACACAACAAATAAACGTGTGAAAAACTCTATTCCCCAAACTGTTTTAGCGTATGCAAATGAAGTTAAGTATATGCGTGACGTGTATTATCCAATAATATCGAATAAACAATGCAACGCTCCGCCCCTACTTAGATGGTGTATACGCTTCGCTTGTTGACATTTAGACTGCATTTATACTGACCTTGAACTTGATCAGCATTTAAATTAATCGTAACAAGTTTATTTCAAACAAAAAAATGCACAACAGAAAAAATCTTCACTAATAGGGTTTTTGTGTCAGAGTAAAGGACAAACAACGGAGAAGTTAAACAATTCTGGGAAAAGTGTCAAACATGTACGTAATGGATCAAAACTGTTTTGTCAATAAATATCAGGAAGTTATTTTTACATATGCATCCATTTAGATTATAAGAGTGTACTAATTATTCAACATTTATATAAAAATGAAGTTGTAAAACATTCCCACCACATAAGAAAGATGTCACGTATAAATTTTGACTTTTTTATCGTGCTTTGTCTTAAGAGACTGTTTCATTAAGCGACCGTTTTGGGTGTTTCCCTTGTGCGGTCGCTTAATACAAGTTTGACGGTATATTACAAGACGTAAAACTTTTGCAAACAGTAAAGTAAAACCAAAAATTCTATGTTGGACCTTATTAACAAGCATTAATATCCTACTCCATTAACTGTATAACCAGGCTGTAGAAACAATTTTGACATTCATGCTGACACTGAATGAATGTCAGCTTTCTCAAACTCATCAATAATGTTATTATTAAGTTTATTATCACCAACCTCATCCCCATTATCCTCCAAATCACTGCCCCACATCTGTTCATCTAGCTTATCATTATCCATATCATCAACCTCTCCCATCTGTTTATCTATCTCCTCCTCATCACCACCATCATCTTCCTCATTGTCTTTCTCTTTATCAACATCTTCTAGATCCTGAGCCTTGGCATCAAAGTCTTCAGACATCTCTATAGCATTCTCTTCTGATTTTACATCAGGCTGATTGTCAGGGTCTTCTTTGTTATGATCTTCTGGTCTTTTTGCTTCATCCAACTTAAAAATATAACCAATATATCTTAACAATACGTCTCTTAAGTGTTTTGTTTGTACTTTCATGTTGATAAAATATCAAGCATCATACAGATTCTCTTCTGTACTTTCAAAATATAATAGATATTCTTTGCTTAGGCTGTCACTTTGTTTGATATACAAATTCCTTTACCAAGTTCATCTGGAATACTAGTATTCTTACTTTAGTGTTTCTTGCTTTTAACATTCAATTCTACAAGATGTACTGTACTTCATCCTTGAAATGATTTCCTCATAGAAATCAAAATTAAAATGTAGTCATAATCTTTCTCTGTTCACACAAATATCATCAGTATATAAATATTATCATATCATTACATTCATCTTGAAGCAATAGAAACAAGAGCCATGTCAACATGGCCATCCCCCCGCCGAATGTGTTTGCTCATTGGAAGAATGTTTATGTAGTAGAGCAGAATAATTCCATTTTAAGAGGTCTTTAGATAATGAAAACTGATGGCTATAGTGATTACAGATTTGAAACCTATGTGAATACTGATGGCTATAAAATAAAGGGCAATAACTGAAAAATAATGCAGGGTAGGTTTTCATTCTTGTTTGCTGCATCCCTCCTCAGTAGAATCTATCCACCTATGAAGTTTCAAGTTGATACCTCAAATACTTTTTGAGAAAAAAATTGAATTGAAAAATTAAGTATGAAAAATAACAAAGGGCAATAACTCAAAAATTATAAAAGATAGAGTTATCATTCTTGTGCACTGCACACCTCCTGAATTAGATCTATGCACCTATGTAGTTTCATAATGATATCTCAAAGGCCTTTTGAGTTATGCTTTGGACAAAAATTAATTTTAAAAAATAACAAGAGGGCCATGATGGCCCTTAGGTCGCTCACCTGTATATAGGCCCCCCAACCCCCCAATGCTGCAGGGCCAATTTAACCCAAGGGCTTTTATTTGCACAAACTTGGTAGACACCCATAAGAAGATGTTTCATGCTAAACATCTAAGCTCTAGCTCTTTGGGCTTTTTTTAAAGAAGATTTTTTTTAAGTTTTTGCTATACACATATAGTAAAAAACAATGACACCCCTGGGGCCGGGCCAGTTTTGACCCCAGGGCTTTTATTTGAACAAACTTTGTAGACACTTACTAGACAAGAGCCCGGTTTGAGCCGGGTGATGCTCCCCGAATAGGTTTTGGACATAGGAAAGTACACCTCTTGTAGTTTCAGAGTTATGTCTGTGGAAAAAGTCCAAAGTGCAATAATTCCAAAATTAGGCAAGGCATAGTTACAGTTCTTTGCACTGAACTTCTAATCAATGTGATCTATCAACCTACAAAGTTTCTTGATGATATCTCTTATGATTTCCGAGTTATGTCTTGGACAATTCAAAAAGTAAAAATAAACAAAGGGAAATAACTCAAGAATTAGGCAAGGTAGAGTTATGATTCTTGTGCACTGCACATCTACCCATTGAGATTTATCTACCTAAAAAGTTTCATGTTGATATCTCTTATAGTTTTACAGCTATGTCCAGGACAAGATTTTTCTAAAAGGGGAGATTATTAAAAAATAAGGCTTAACAGAGTTATGGTTCTTTTGCACTGCACCTCTACTCAATGAGATCTATTTACCTACAATGTTTCATGTTGATATCTCTTATAGTTTTAGAGTTATGCCCCGGACAAGAATTTTTTATAAGGGGAGATAATTAAAAAACCAGGCAAAATAGAGTTATGGTTCTTTGACACTGCACTCCCCATCAATGCCCTCTACCACTGTATGAAGTTTCAACAAATTATATCCAAGGGTTTTCAAGTTATATTCCTGACAAAGTTCAATTTCAAAGTATTAAAATAAACAAAGGGCAATAACTCCAAAATTAGGATGAAAAGAGTTATTGTTTTTATGCACTGCACATCTACCCATTGAGATCTATTCACCTTCAAAGTTTCATGTTGATATCTCTTATAGTTTTAGAGTTATGCCCCGGACAAGATTTTTCTATAAGGGGAGATAATTCAAAACCTGGCAAAATAGAGTTATGGTTCTTTGACACTGCACTCCCCCTCGATGCCCTCTACCACTGTATGAAGTTTAAACAAATTATCTCCGAGGGTTTTCAAGTTATGTTCCGGACAAAGTTCAAAGTATTAAAATTAACAAAGGGCAATAACTCCAAAATTAGGATGAAAAAAGTTATTGTTCTTATGCACTGTACATCTACCAATTGAGATCTATTCACCTACAAAGTTTCATGTTGATATCTCTTATAGTTTTAGAGTTATGTCCGGACAAGATTTTTCTATAAGGGGAGATAATTCAAAAACCAGGCAAAATAGAGTTATGGTTCTTTGACACTGCACTCCCCCTCGATGCCCTCTACCACTGTATGAAGTTTCAACAAATTATCTCCAAGGGTTTTCAAGTTATGTTCTTGACAAAGTTCTAAGTATTAAAATTAACAAAGGGCAATAACTCCAAAATTAGGATGAAAAGAGTTATTGTTCTTATGCACTGCACATCTACCCATTGAGATCTATTCACCTACAAAGTTTCATGTTGATATCTCTTATAGTTTTAGAGTTATGCCCCGGACAAGATTTTTCTAAAAGGGGAGATAATTCAAAAACCGGGGAAAATAGAGTTATGGTTCTTTGACACTGCATTCCCCCTCGATGCCCTCTACCACTGTATGAAGTTTCAACAAATTATCTCCAAGGGTTTTCAAGTTATGCTCCGGACAAGACAACGGACGGATGGACAGACAGATGGACGGACAGACGGACAAGGCGCCGACTATATGCTCCCCCGAAATTTTCGGGGAGCATAAAAATGTTTCATGCTTCATATTTTAACTCTAGCTATTTGGGTTTTTTCAAAGAAGATTTTAAGTTTTTGCTATACACATAAAGAAAATCAATGACCCACGGGGTGGGGCCAATTTTGACCCCAGGTCTTTTATTTGAACAAACTTTCTAGACACTCACTAAAAGAAGTTTCATGCTTAATATTTTTACTCTAGCTATGTGGGTTTTTTCAAAGAAGATTTTTTAAGTTTTTGCTATACACATATAAGGAAAATCAATGACCCCCGGGACGGTGCCAATTTTGACCCCAGGGCTTTTATTTGAACAAACTTGGTAGACACCTATTAGAACATGTTTGATACTAAATATCTTAGCCATAGCTCTTTGAGTTCTTTAAAAGAAGATTTTTTAAGTTTTTACTATATGCATAAAGGGAAAATCAATGACCCCCCGGGCGGGGCCAATTTTGACCCCAGGGCTTTTATTTGAACAAACTTGGTAGACACTTACTAGAACATGTTTCATGCTAAATATCTTAGCTCTAACTCTTTTGGTTCTTTAAAAGAAGATTTTTAAGTTTTTACTATATGCATATAGGGAAAATCAATGACCCCCTAGGGCAGGGCCAATTTGGACCCCAGGGCTTTTATTTGAACAAACTTGGTAGACACCTATTAGAACATGTTTGATGCTCAATATCTTAGCTCTAGCTCTTTGGGTTCTTTAAAAGAAGCTTTTTTAAGTTTTTACTATATGCATATAGGGAAAATCAATGACCCCCCGGGACGGGGCCAATTTTGACCCCAGGGCTTTTATTTGAACAAACTTGGTAAACACTCACTAGAAGATGTTTCATGCCATATTCTAAGCTTTAGCTCTTATGGATTTTTAAAAGAAGATATTTTAAGTTTTTTCTTTCGGTTGCCATGGCAACCAGAGTTCTGCATGAAATTTAATTCTTTGAACAATTTTTAAAGGTGACCACCAAAGGAACATTCCTGTGAAGTTTGGATGAAATTGGCTTAGTGGTTAACGAGGAGATGTTATTTAAAAGTAAAAGTTTATGGACGGACGCCGGACGGACAACGGACGGACAGACAGACGACGACGGACGACGGACAAAAAGCGATCACAAAAGCTCACCCTGTCACTTTGTGACAGGTGAGCTAAAAACAAACAAATTTAGGCATCAAAAATAGTAGAATTGATCATACCTCCGTCAGAAGATCGCTCAATTCTTGGTGAACTTTGGTTCTCGGTGAGGTGCCGGCCAACTGGATCAATGTATCACGATCAATTTCACGCTTGACCTTCACCTTCACCGCCGCAAAGACTTGTAATGCCTTACGTGCCAACTCTGAATCTTCAGTGACCAGACGTCGATGAAGGCCCTACATACACAAGTATATTACTTTATAATGGTTCAACACTTTACCATATACTTTTTTTTTCATTTAGAAAAAACATTATAGCTGCAGCAAATAGTAAATTACAGATTGATAAATGCATCTTATATTCTTGAAGTTATTTCCCTAAGAAATTTGATTTATCTACTTTAGTTTTAATCATTATACAAAATATGTAATTCAATAAATTATATATACATGTACTTGTACCATAAATACGAGGGTTGTTCAAAAAGTAATAGGACTGCAAGTGAAGTCTACTGTTGATATTTAATGATTTTTTTAATTTATATGCACAATTTTACAAGATAATAATATCGAAAGATTTCCTCTATAGACAGTGAAAAAATCAATATGTTTAAAAATAACGAGTCTGTTAAAATTTCAACTGACAAGGGGTACGCGACCAGGCGCATGTTAACTAACATTAAATGACGTTTATGATGTTGTAAAATAAAAAAATGGCACAATCGTCATCCCTTCTGAAAGAATTCTCCCTAATGTTCTGTGTGTCTAAATCATGTAACTTTGATCAGACCTCATATGTGGAGATGAAGCAAGAAAGAAAATGATCACACTCTCGTTCCACTCTTCAAAAAAAAAGCTTGATAGCCTGCTACTCTCCGCTTTATCTCGCATTCTTGTAATCTTATAGTAATCATTATAGATTAAACAGGCATGAAAACTTATGATGTTAATGAAAAAGTGATAAATAGAATTAATTAACATGTATCATCAAACGTTCTTAAAACAATATGATTATGATTATGTAAGAAAAACAACAATATCTATCAACTGAAAAGTATATTTTCCTACTAAGAATAGATTATCTTTTTTTTTAAAAATATCAGGCAAAAATATTTATTATTACCGTTTATCATTATAACATTAATTTATTGATATAATGTATACCTAGTTAAATGAAATAGATATTTGTTTGAATCAAGTTATTTGGGCAGAACTGAATGCAGAATTTAAACATGCCGATCAGTTTGTGGACTGTTTACTGTCTATCATTTTGTAGCACTTTTTCATTTGAAGTCACTAACGTCCCGTCAATTTCCCTTTGGCTATTTCTTTCTGAACCACAATATATGATAGATTTTATAAGTATGCCCCAGTAAAAGATTTTCTTTGCAGTTTTACGTATATTTAGGCAACATTTAACAATAGACCACTAAAATTACCTTTCCATTGTTAATATCTTCAAACTCATTTGGCAGTTCAGAGAATTCTTCAGGCGAGCCGTACAAATTCAAAAAACGTAGACCTACAACAATAAAATCAAAGGCATAAACATATGCTTCATAAAGTGAATCATTCATCAATATTTTAATAGAATAGTACAAATAATTATCTTCTATAAGAAAATAAAGTCAGCAAGTACTTTGGCTACATTTCATATTTTGAACAGCACAAATTTAAATTTTAAAGGTGATTTATAAGCTTTACAAATTTAGATTAAATTTTATGAATATGACCCTAATGGATCATATAATTTTTTAAGTATTTATGATACAGTCTATATTTTATAGGAATGAAACTAAACAGTATCAATTATGTAAGATTTAAGAACATTGATTTTACTATTACTAAAACAGAAACTCAGGTAAATTGTTATTTCTTAATATTCAAGTATCATTATCAAAATTTGCTATTTTATTACAGTTTCTATATATAAAACAAGAGCTGTCGGTAGGACAGCAATGCTTGACTATTCTTAGTGCTTGATAGTAAAAAAAGCCTTGATTAAAGGTAAAATTTTCTCAGTAAAGAAAAAGGCAAATTTTTTCTTTAAATCAATATTACAGTTATAGGAATCTGGAGAGTCCTATTATGCTCTGAAAGAAGAGCACAAAATTTCAACATGTTTCAAAGCCTTATGTCAATGAACTTTGAAAATATTTGAGGTATTACAAAAACTGTAACGTAAATTTTAAGTCGAAAAAGGGGCATAATTCTGTCAAAATCTTTGATAGATTACCTCCTCCTGTTTACATGTTGGGGTCATTATGTTGAATAAGTGTACAAAGTTTCAAAGCCATATGTCAATGGACTATGAAATTATTTGAGGTATTACAAAAACTTTTATGTTAATTCTAAGTCAAAAAGGGGCATAATTCTGTAAAAATGCTTGATAGAGTTACCTCCTCCTGTCTACAGGTTGGGGTCATGATGGTGAACAAGTATGCAAAGTTTCAAAACCATATGTCAATGGACTTTGAAAATATTTGAGGTATTACAAAAACTTTAACGTAAATTCTAAGTCGAAAAAGGGGCAAATTCTGTCAAAATGCTTGATATTAAGAGTTACCTCCCCCTGTCTACAGGTTGGGGTCATGATGGTAAACAAGTGTGCAAAGTTTCAAAGCAATATGTCAATGGACTTTGAAAATATTTAAACTATTACAAAACTTTAACATAACTGGTTATGCTGACGCTGATGCTCGGGTGACTACAATAGCTCTACTTATTCTTACTGAATAGTCGAGCTAAAAACAACTTTTGGCAAACAAATTTAAGTACCATATGAAAATGAATGAAATATGCAATCCATCATTAAACTGTAATCTAGCTCTGAAAAAGTGTCTAAAAAATCTACTAAACAGGCAAATGGGAGAGAAAAAAAAAAGAGAATTAATTGGCACATACAAAAATTAAATTCCAAGGCAATTTTCATGTATCAATCAACATGTTTTTTTATTCAAACAATTAACAGAGCTATAAAATAGGTCCTGTAAAACCGTCATCTGGCATACATGTACTTCTATCACAAGCAAATTAGATTGGAAGAGCAAGTTATAATTAAAAAACAGCGAGTTGCAAAATATGAAATAGTGAGTTGACTATAAAATCTTGCTCTTATAATTGACAGATAGTCCTATAATGCTTTATTTCTTTATTTCAAATAGACACCTAAAAAGTATTTCATTTTAAAAGTATTTCATTTTAGATTTTTAACAAGAGCCGGTCGAAACAGGTGATGCTCCCCGAATAGGTTTTGGACACAGGAAGGTATACCTCTTGTATAGTGTCAGAGTTATGTCAAAGACAAAGTTCAAAGTGTAAAAACAACCCGAATCACTGTACCAAGTTTGAAGTTCCTAGGCTTAAGCATTCTTTAGATATTGATTGGAAACCATTTTTATTTACAAAGTCAATGTGACCTTGACCTTTGACCCATTGACTCCAAGATCAATAGGGGTCATCTGCTGGTCATGACCAATCACCATACCAAGTTTGAAGTTTCTAGGCCTAAGCGTTCTTTAGTTATTGATCAGAAACCACTTTTACTTACACGGTCAATGTGACCGTGACCTTTGACCCCTTGACCCCAAGATCAATAGGGGTCATCTGCTGGTCATGACCAATCACCATACCAAGTTTGAAGTTCCTAGGCCTAAAAGTTCTTTAGTTATTGATCGGAAACCGTTTTTACCTACAAGGTCAATGTGACCTTGACCCTTGACCCCAAAATCAATAGGGGTTACCTGCTGGACATGGCCAATCACCATATCAAGTTAAGTTCCTAGGCCTAAGCATTCTTTAGTTATTGATCAAAAACTGAATTCGGGATGTACGGACAGACTGACATACTGACGAAAGGACAGACAACTCGCGAAATTTTTAGGGGAGCATAATAAAAACTTATTTTATCACCCTGGTCATTTCCTTACAAACTTTTTCTGGGCTATACAAATTAAGAAAACTAGCCAACCTTCTTATTTGCAATTTAATTTGCAATTAAGGATAAAGTTGAGTATGTAACAAATGACAAATCAAAAATAATATATCAATATATCTATGTTCGCCCATATGATCTCTCAGGTGGCGAGCAAAAAAAACCCAAACACATACATAAAAGTTATATCAACAAATGAAAACGTTAGGCAAAATTATATATTTGTTGTTTAAAGAATAAAGTTTCCTTGGTTCCTTTGGTCCATTTATTCCAGATTTAAATAAATATGTATTACAATTTGCACCAAGTAAATGATGATAGGAAATCACTTACCGGATATATCAACAAGACAGGTGTGTGTAACCAGTTCGAAATCCAGGAGAGAAGAAAGATAATTGTGTACACAAAAAGTCATGAAAAGCATGCTAAACTACATGTACAAATAGAGACTAGTGAAAAGTATTAACCGTGAGAATGACCTTTTGGGTAGAGTGCCACTGTAACACTAAGTCCCCTTCTTTGTAAAAAGGACTGAGCATGCTCTCATTTAACAATTGACCAGACAATTAACAAAAAGAAATGTTTAGCATTGTCACTATTAGTTTTACCTTATAAAAAAAAAATCATAAAAAAAAGAATAGAAGTAATAAGACTACAAAGAAGAACTGGAATTTGAATGTTCAAAAATGTACTGAAAAGAAGTCATAGAAAACCTCTTGAAATTGTTAATTTACAAAAAGTAACACAGCAAACCATTATGCCTTTATTCAAAAAGCTTCAATAATGATAAAAATAATTTCACAATTTAAACTCTTTCCTTCAAAACTATTAGTCACTATTTATGTCCCTCTAAATAAATTATTCATTTAACATGAAATGTACAAAGGAACATTAACAATACTTATTTTAAATAAGAAATTCTCAAGTAATTAAACCTTTACAGGATTATCAAAACAAAAAATAACAATAAACTTTATTCTTTACAGATCTTCAAAGTGAAAACAAGGGTGCCATAGTCACAAAATACGCCCGTTTACAACATATTTTCCGTATTTTCACTGGTGTCTCGCCGGACTACTTTCTTTTAAATTCTGCCCGTACACAAAATTTAATGGAAAGTCTTTCAAATTTTATCGCAAAAAAAGAGAAAAATGTATATAATAAACAGAAAATTCAAGTTTTTTCTATAAATACATGATTTATTTTCATCTTGTGGCATGAAAATTATCATATTTCACTCGTGGCTACCACCACTCATGAAATATTTATTTTCATACCACTCGATGAAAATAAATCATGTATTTATAGAAAAAACTTGAATATCCTCTATTGACGAAAAAGCTTTAGATGGAGATGGGGGCATTATGGATGAGTGTTATCTAGCAAGCAAGTTTTTGTTCTTGGCACTGTGTTGTTAAATGAACCTTAAAACAAATCAATAGGGAAGATATGCACAGAATGTGTGGCCTTGACCTTGGTCGCAGGGACCTGAATTTTATGCACGGCACTCAGCCTCACAATGATGAACATTTGTGCCAAATTATATTGAAATCCCTCTATGCATGTAGAAGTTTTGCTCCAGACAAGTGTTTTTCTATGAGCTCTAACTGTGACCTTCACCTTTGACCTAGAGACTTGGTTTATGTGCAGGGCACTACGTCTCATGGTGGTGAACAATTCTATAAAAGTAACATTAAAATTCCTCCATGCATGTAGAAAATATGCTCCGGACAACATCTGGATATTTAATCATCTCCAGTGACCTTGACCTTGTAAATATTAACCTAAATTAAATGTATAACACCTGTAGTCATGATAGTTACCATTTGTGCTACAATCCATCAATAAATGGTGACTAAATGGTCCCTATAACCATCTTCAAATTTTTATCTGAACTTTGACCTCTATGTGTAACCTTGACTTTGGTCACAGGGATCTGAATTTTGCATGCGACACTCAGCCTCACAATGGTGAACATTTGTGCCAAGTTATATTGAAAACCCCCTATGAATGTAGAAGTTTTGCTCCGGACAAGCCTTTTTCAATGAGCTCTAAGTGTGACCTTGACCTTTAACCTGGAGACCTGGATCATGCATGGAGCAATACATATCATGGTGGTGAACATTTCCATAAAGTATTATAAAAATTCTTCCATACATGTAGGAGATATGCTCCAGACAAAATCTGGATATTTCACCATCTTTAGTGACCTTGACCTTGCATATATTGACCTAAAGTACATGTGTCACAGCTGTAGTCATTATAATGACCATTTGTGTTACAATCCCTCAATAAATGATGATTAAATCGTCCCTATACACATCTTCATATTTTTATCTTTTTTTAAACGGGCGTATAAAAAGTACATGTAATTTAATAACTAAAAAATTCTGATTTAAGATTTTATTCTAGGGAAATACATTTCATTACAATTCTTAATCTTTGAATGAGCTGAACTGATATTTACTTGAAAATTAAAATATAATTAAATTTCTATGAGAAAGTATTTACATTTGATAAGGTAATTACTGTATGATCTTTATGAACAAATACCAAGTCTACAGAACACCATAGTTATCACAGTTAAGAATCTTGACCAATGAATGAAACATGTGTAAATAAATGTTACATTCTTTAGAACATACTCAAGTCCAAAAAAGAGGATTATTTCTTGCCCTTTGATTAAATTCTATTTTTAGAATTGAAAGTGAAAATAGATCAAGGGGAGTAATTGTGTAAGTCATTTATGAACAAAGTAATAACTTTGTTGTCTCCCTTTGATTAAATTCTATTTACAAAATCTGGATATTTCATCATCTTTAGTGACCTTGACCTTGTATATATTGACCTAAATTATATGTATCACAGCCATAGTCTTGATAATGACCATTTGTGTTACAATCCCTCAATAAATGATGACTAAATGGTCCATATACACATCTTCATATTTTTATCTGAACTTTGACCTCTATGTGTGACCTTGACCTTGGCCGAAAGGACCTGAATCTTGCACGCGACACTCAGCCTCACAATGGTGAACATTTGTGCCAAGTAATATTGAAATCCCTCTATACATGTGGAAGTTTTGCTCCGGACAAGCATTTTTCAATGAGCTCTAAGTGTGACCTTGACCTTTGACCTAGAGACCTGGTTCATGTGCGCGACACTGCTCCTCATAGTGGTGAACATTTATATGAAGTTTCATTAAAATCCCTCCATACATGTAGGAGATATGCTCCGGACAAAATTGGACGCCGCCCGCCCGCCCGCCAGGGGCGTTCCCATAATACGTCCCGTTTTTCAAACGGGCGTATAAAAACTGTATGAATCTTAAATTAACCATATAAAAATAAAGAAGTGAAAGTTTTCACTTTTGATAATCCCTTTTTTAATTGTATAGAAACTACAAACATTATTCATTTTAAAAGTTAGTAAATACATTTTTAATAGCTTTAGCCTGACAGAGTGCAGGATTGATACATCCCCAGCCACAAATGAAGTGCATGCTTCAGGTAAGTCCCCTAGCTTTAAGTTAAAACATTTTGACGAGGAAATGCTATGTTACATATACCTGAAATGTACTTCAGATATACTTACAGATAATAAGACCTGCTTAATCTGAAGTCCTACAGACTTCTATGATACACAACAACCATACTTCAAATGAAGCCTCTGGGACTTCAAGAATTCTCTTCCTAACATATACCTGCTTCAGTAGAAGCCCAGGGAACTTCTGCTGGAAGTACCTGGGAGTTAATTGATGCTTTGTAAACATTAATAAATATAATAGATAGACAAGAACAGTAATGGGGCTTCAGTGATGCCTTAAACACAAGCATATTTCTAGGGACTTCATGTGTACTTTTGAGACTCACAAATACATTTCATTCATACTTTTAAAACTAAAGTGTGAGATAAGTGGGTATTACAGCATGTAATCTAATATCCTGATCAAAAGATTCAAATATTACTAGGAAGATAGTTTCTTTGGAAGTCAGTGCTTATAATTTACAAAGATGTTTAGGAGTAAAGTCAAACATGTGACTAAAGAGTCATTAAGATGAAACAACTTTATAATGTGAACTTGAATAAAATTATAATGGGACATTAAATGAGTTCTTCAATCAGATGGAAATGGAAGTTTAATATTGTTTAATGGAATAATGGTAAGCTATTTAGACTTTTTAACATCCTTTTCAAATTTCCCTTAAATGAACATGTCTTTATAAATTTTACATATGTCCTAATCTAAACCTTTTCACTGTGTTATTGAGGAAAGATTTTAAATCTACCCTTTTCTTTACATTATGTACCAGTAAACAGGTCTAAGAATTTTCATGATATTTATGGACTGTCCGTAAATTTATGGATAGTCTAGAAATTTAAGGATTTTTTAATCCATAAATTTACAGATATTCAATGTGATATTCGCTGTTTTTAGTTTTACACTAAAATCCGCAGCTTAAAACATGTTGTTTCATTGATTATTTATATTTACAAACGTAATGGTATGAGTTTCATCTTTGTATGATGATTTTGAAATTTTTGATAAAAAGTGAAAATTGAAAGTCATCATATTGTTTTGAATCTTACCATACTGTAAAATTTAATCATATTGTATGTAACCTTATTAATTTTAACCTACGGTTTTGAAATTTCATGCAACTTCTTCTATTTTCTTACTTACTGTCTGTAAATTTACAGATGTAACTAGAAATGTGTCCATAGGACACGGGTGCCCCCACAGCACCACTGTTCTGTCAATCTTTTCACTAAGTCAAGGGAAATAACTCTACAAATACTGGATAAATCCACAAGCGAAACCCCAGGTGCAAATCTAAATATAATGAGCAACCTGCCCATAAGGTTTAATGACTATGTCAAATACTTTTTGAGGAACTTGCGACACAAGTTGAAAATTGCAAAATTTTACTAAGTCATGGGCAATAACTCTGAAAATATTAAAAATATCCAGACGAAAATACCCAGGTGCACATCTACACATGCTGATCAACATTCCTGTATGTAAAGTTTCATGACTCTAGGTCAAATACTTTTTGAGTAACATGCGACACAAGTTGAAAATTGCAAAATTTTACTAAGTCAAGGGCAATAACTCTGAAAATACTAAAATATCCACATGAAAATACCCAGGTGCACAACTACACATGCTGATCAACATTCCTGTAAAGTTTCATGACTCTAGGTCAAATACTTTTTGAGTTACATGCGACACAAGTTGAAAATTGCAAAATTTTACTAAGTCAAGGGCAATAACTCTTAAAATACTAAAATATCCACACAAAAATACCCAGGTGCACAACTACACATGCTGATCAACATTCCTGTAAATTTTCATGAATCTAGGTCAAATACTTTTTGAGTTACGTGAGACACAAGTTGAAAATTGCAAAATTTTACTAAGTCAAGGGCAATAACTCTTAAAATACTAAATATATCCAGACGAAAATACCCAGGTGCACAACTACACATGCTGATCAACATTCCTGTAAAGATTCATGACTCCCGGTCAAATACTTTTTGAGTTACGTGCGACACAAAAGTGAACGGACGATCAGTTTCTTTACTTCTTAATGGGTCTGCAAGCAAACAGCATGGATCCTGATCAGACTGCGCGGATGAGCAGACTGGGCTGGATCCATGCTGGTTGTAAACCCATTATGTTGGTTTTGTCCGGCAGTGACATAGCTCAAATACACTTACATGAATGCAGGCCTATAGTTATAAAAGGTATGCAAATTTTAACAGAAAAATTTCAAACATGTGCTACCACATGTTTAAAATGGGGTTTACAAATTAAATGTGAAGTTTTAGAATGAACAAAAAATTGTCAAAATTACAGAGATCGGGAAAGAATTTTTGCAGTTGAGACTATATATATGTCTCCACCTGTTGGAAAACTTATGAGACATTTCTAAAAGTTATGAGACATTGTTCAAAACTAATGAGACATGTTTTTTTTAATGATTATAAAGTATGGATAAATGTCTAAAATGTGTATTTTGACTTCTCCATGACAAGTAAAATGTAGCTGCACGTGTAAAAGACCTTGTATAAAACAAAGTTTTTAAGATTTATTTGGAAAAAAAAAAAATTTAATTTTAATTAAAGTATGTATCCTTCGGACACATTCAATATATATGTAACATAGCATTTCCTAGTCAAAATGCTTTTAGAAAATTAATTATAAAAAACATTAATAATTTCAACATTCATAAATAACTTACATTTTTAATAATCATTAAAAGAATTTCATTGTTGTATAAATATTTTGATAAAAATTACTTTTAGATTCTTAACTGATAAATTTTACAACTCTAGTATAAACATGTCATAGTGGTCAATAAGGAAATATTATCACCTTTTGATTTTAATACTTTATGGCTTAATTCTCAATTTCCTAGTCTTTTATCAAACAAGCCATACTAGATTATCTTTTGACATTTATTGCTAATATTGCTTAAGGCTTAAATCACTATGACAACTCTTTCTTAATTTATATTGTTGATTTTTATATTTTAAATTAGTCTTATTCTAAAATTTGAACTTACAACATCTAAGAGTCTTATTTTAATTTCGGAACTGAGAACATCTAAAAGTCTTATATAGAATTTCGGACATATAACATCAAGTCTTAACTTAGAAAATAAATAAGTAAAATTAACTTAAGCAAAATTCAGGTGCTAGCTGTGAAAATATATGTGTGGACTATATGATTATTTTGTATTTGAGAACTTTCAATGGGCTATAAAGAAATAAATGAAATAACATCATACTGGACTTTTGAGTTATAAAATAAGTCATCATAACAAAGAGGATACTGGATAATAATAATACACCAGTTTCCCACACACACCTAACCAACCGAGGGTTTCCGTGTAGGGCGCTCACTACGCCAGCGAGTATTCCCCAAACGACCCCAAAGCGAAGGCCCTGCCGGTGACCCTTGGCTACATATATCTGTTTCTCATGCAACATAGAATAGGTACAATGTACTTGTTTGCCACTTCTCAATTGGGTAAGTAGGTAGGTAGGTAAATTTCATCAACAATTGCAGACTTGAATTAAAATAATTTGGTCCTATTTGAATGAACATCATGGTTTAATATACATTATATATGTTGTTGTTATTTTTTGGTGTCAAACAGTTTGTTTATTTGCTGAAGAAAAATAAGGTAAAAAGAATTATCATTAAAATGAATCCAATATTTTATAAGTACCTTTCCATAACATATCAAGTAATATATGACATAATGTGTAATGTCCATTTTTTTTTATTTTTTATTTGCACTCACTTAGGAATGGCTCCTTAGTAGCATTCATTGTTGTCTTCTTTTTTTTGACAACTCTACATCAAAGGGACTCCCAGCATACAGAAGTCATGCAGTTCAGATATCTGATTGGCTAAGTGACCTGTCAATTATTATAGTGATGTAATAAACATCACTTCAGCTCATGTTTCACTTTGTTATTGTTAAGTTTTCATAGGCAGGTTATGATGACCTAGATTTACCGCAGTGCAACTATAAATAGTTACACATTTTTTTTCTGTGTATAAAGTTTGAAGTTACCAAACATGATTTTAAACACAAAAAGGTTTGGATTATTTTTGTTAAGGAAGGAAGATACTAAAAAAATTAAATCATTTTAATGCGACTATGTCGCAGGTCGCGGGACTTTCCCGCTCTCTGAATTACTTGACAATTTATTACAAATAAAACAAGCAATTATCAAAGTATTGCAAGCAATCCATAAGTCCCCTACCGGTTAGAACCCCATCAACATTCTGAAGGGCCATTCACTAATGTTTCAATTTTTCTCTATTTTAAGTAAATTTGTTGGAAAAGTTCTTTAAAAGTGATCACAGGAAACAGTTTTTATGAACAGACAGACAGACGGACTGAAGGACACTCTAAAGTTAATATTTGAAACATCCCTGTTACCAAAATATAACATTTTAAAAGCAAAATTCTTAAACAGGAGATAATTCTTGAATTAAAGATGCAATTTCATAAAAAAAATTCAGTTCTTTTTGACTAATCACAAATATTGTTATATTTGCAATGTTTTAAGCCTATTTGTTGCCAAGGCTAAAGATATTTTTTCAAAATAGGAAGAACAGATAAGACATGCATAATCTCAAGACTGCCATCTACCCATATGTTAAGTTTCATAAAAATATTTCTAGTACTTTTTGAGTTATCACTGGATTCAGTTTATGTGTAAAATTTGCCATATTTTCAGTCTATGTGTTGCAATAGCAACCAGAATTTTCAACATAGGAAGAAAAGAAAAAAACGTACATAATCTCAAGACTGCCATCTACCCATATGTCAAGTTTCATAAAAATATTTCCAGTACTTTTTGCTTTATCACTGGATCCAGTTTATGTGTAAAATTTGCCATATTTTCAGCCTATTTGTTGCCATAGCAACCAGAATTTTCAATATAGGAAGAAAAGAAAAAGACGTGCATAATCTCAAGACTGCCATCTACCCATATGTCAAGTTTCATAAAAATATTTCCAGTACTTTTTGCGTTATCACTGGATCCAGTTTATGTGTAAAATTTGCCAAATTTTCAGCCTATTTGTTGCCATAGCAACCAGAATTTTCAATATAGGAAGAAAAGAAAAAGATGTGCATGATCTCAAGACTGCCATCTACCCATATGTCAAGTTTCATAAAAATATTTCCAGTACTTTTCAAGTTATTGCGGGATCCAGTTTATGTGTAAAATTTGCCATATTTTCAGCCTATTTGTTGCCATAGCAACCACAATTTTCAACATAGGAAGAAAAGAAAAAGACGTGCATAATCTCCATACTGCCATCTATCCATATACCAAGTTTCATAAAAATATTTTCAGTACTTTTCAAGTTATCGCGGGATCCAGTTTTGTGGACGGACGGACTGACGGACTGACAGATGGACAGACAGATGGACGGACGGACAGACGGACGGAGGGTAAACCTAAAGTCCCCTCCGGTAAACCGGTAGGGGACTAAAAATAATAACCCGCAAGAATAAACCAATCTAGTTTCGCAGCGCCAATTATTACAATTTACACCAAGTTAATGATGGTAAGAAGTCACTTACCTGATATTATTTATACACTCCAAGGGAAAGGTGTGTGTCCAGGAGAGAAGAGAGAGAGTTGTGTACACAAAAAGTCATTAAAAGCATGCTAAACTACATGTACATGTACAAATATGGACTAGTGAAAGTACTAACCGTGAGAATAACCTTTTAAATAGAGTGCCACTGTTACATATGTTTATGCCAAATAAATAAATTTCAGACAAAAAAATATCTAATTACATATAGATCTAGTATATCCTAACTTAAATTGACAATTTTGTTGCAGGATGGAAAACAAAAATAATTTTAAGTTTGACCTAATAATTACCATTGCAAAATTTCACATTTAACAGTTTTGTTTGCTGAAAAGGGCTTACAGACAACTCACCCCCCAGACAATTCACCCTCAGCAGGTTTTTCCAGACAGTTCACCCATCAGACAGTTTACCCGCATTATCATTTTTTATTTTCTTTTATTTTTAGCAACAACATACATTGTAGATCACAGTTACATATTAAGATATTTTTCTAAATAAATAAATATAAAATATCAGTTAATCCAACTTAAAATATCATTTCATATTAATAATAAATAAAACAAATTTAGTTAATGACTGAGATCAGATGAGGCATTGGATAAAATTTTGTATTAATAAATAAAAATAAAAAAATTATAAAATCACATTTCAGATTCATTTTACAACAGTCAGAATTATAATTATCACAGAATATTGTTTTAAAGTTAGTCAATACTGATAAACATGATATAAAAGAAATAAAAGAATTTCAATAAAATTTCAATACAAAGGTTTTGTTTAAAAGTGATTAATAAAATTTCAATACAAAGGTTTTGTTTAAAAGTGACCTATCATGTTATGAGGATAGCCCGTTAAGCTGGTGTGCTTATTTCCTATGGGGTCCTGACCGTCCTGTTAACCAAATAGATGGAAACAAGATGAAACTAAATAAAATAAATAAATATACTGACTATTTGATTTTTTTAACATGATTATCATTTATGAGGAGTGAATTGTCTTATCTATTTTGGGGGGTGAACTGTCTTGAGAGGTGAGTTTTCTTGTTTTTTTTTGGGAGTGAATCTCTGGGGTGGGTGGGGTTAGTTGTCTTTTTTTCCCTGAAAAGCATGGCATTTTATTTTTTGTACTTGGAAAATATTGCTATTTCATGAATTTTCACATAAATTGCCATGGAGTTCAATGAATTTTTTTTTCATGACACAGTGTGTCACATCTACAAAAAGGGTGATTGCCACTGGAAGAACAGGTCTTTACAGCTATACCTAGGTTAAGTAAGGGGCATACAAACATTCAATAATTTTAAAATGTGTGTTCGGAGTACACAAAATTCAAAATTGACACAAGCTTATTGGTGGGGTAAGGAAAACATTTCAACGATGTAAAAATCCAATTTCTTACCAAAACTTGGCCTATCTTCGGGCTCCAAGACGTATGGCCACATCTTGGCCCTGAAACACTGCATCATCCTGCTGATAACTAAATCGATAATAGACATGATTGAACTTTGCAATTATGCTAAGGAATGGCAGGCATTTTCAAAATGGCTGTATTTATAAGGGCGCATTTCTGGAAAATTTGCTCATTGGTCAACTTCTAGTGACGTATACATGTGTCACACGCTATTTGATAAATCACCTGCTATTTGATAGGACCAGATAAAATTTGTGGCCCTTGAATATTGTTATCATCATTAATTAGCTTTCAACCCATACGAGAAGCTCACACCTTAATACTCTCACTACTACTGGGTAAATCATTTCTTTTTTCCAATTTGGCGAATATTCAGAAGTATATGAAGTATATATAAGGAGAGTGAATCGTCACTCATAAGATGAGCTATAAAACAAGAAGTCACATGAACAAGATGCTGGCCAAATCTTCAATTTTCACCTGTTGCATTATGTATGTCAAATTCCTCCACCCATATGTCAGCCCCCCCCCCCGGAAACCATTTTTGTATCTGCCCCTAGACGTCAATAGATGTTCTAGACAAGTACAACTGTACAATATAAATTGGATGGCCATTTCCAAGAACAAAGTTATTGTTCGTCGGAGATGCTGAAAATATATCTCTACTTGAATATTGTCTGACATTCTGTTAGAAAATAAACAACAGAAAATACTTACATGATAATCACCCCCATCGCCCCCCGCCCCCTCCAAAAAAATAGTAAATAAATAAAAATAGAATTAGAAAATTATAAACAAAAAAAAATTAAATAAATAAGAATGTGTTTGTTATACACAAATGCCCCCGGCCTAGATTCGTGTCCGTAGCAATATTTCAAAAAATGTTTACCCATTCATTCAGTTATGGACAGAAAAATTGCCAAAACATTGTAAACACAAGTTATACGAGTATAGCTTGGCAAAGTCATGGCATTTTGTAATTGTGAAAAAATATAAGTTGCCAAGTCACTGCTCTGACTTGTGAAGTTGAAAAATATTCAATTTTATGCAAGTTATCTTCCTTCCAAATATGAAAAACATCTGTCATTAAATAAAGGCTGTATGGGCAAAGTGTACAAATCTATTTTGAGCACTGGTGACCTTGACCAAACTGACCCCTTACTCTATCCAAAAGAAGAATACTATGTAAGTTATCTTCCTACCAAATATGAAATACATCTGTCAATAAATAAAGGCTGTATGGGCAAAAGTGTAAAAATTTATTTTTAGCACTGGTGACCTTGACCCAACTGACTCCTTACTCCATCCAAAGGAAGAATACCATGCACGTTATCTTCCTACCAAATATGAAATACATATCTGTCAATGAATAAAAAACTTTATGGGCAAAATTGTAAAAAAAAAAATTAAACCAAGTGACCTTGACACACTGATCCCTACCCCAATCAAAAGGATGACTTCCATGCAAGTTATCTTCCTACCAAATATAAAATATAGCTGTCACTTAATAAAGGCTGTACAAGCAAATGTGTAAAAATCTGTTTTTAGCACTGGTGACCTTGGCCCAACTGACCACTAACTCCATCAAATTCTATGTTTCTATCAATTATAAATAACATCTGTCTATAGAATAAGGTTAATTCACCTCTAAAAATGTAAAAATCTATTTTTAACATTGGTGACCTTGATATTGGTAACATTGACCTTTAACCAAATGACCCCTTACTACACACAAAGAAGGAGGACCTCCCTTGGCATGTTTGTATTAAAATAAGACATCAACTTAATGAAAAAA